ATATATATAAAAAAATAAAATATTATTTATATTGAATATAATATAATAAATGGAATAGAAATAATGTGATATAATTGAATAAAAATAATGTGTATTATTATTATTATTATTATTATTATTATTATTATTATTATTATTATTATTATTATTATTATTTCAGAATATCAAAGCAGAAACGCCTCACATCACTCAATGGAACAAACACCACACCTTTAACACAATTAAAGGCATTCTGTCCAACAACAGCAAGGCTTTTTCTTCGTTTTTGAGGTCAAAATCAAGCCCTTGTATTTGACAGGATTGTGTCTCTTGTTTTGCAGGCATTTCAGTTTTTAGGATGTTCTTTTAACAATAATGATTTCCAGGTCTCATCATGTGGCATTGTGAACACCACCTACCCAAAATGTCTCAGTGCAGTTGATAACAGCTCCAATTCCCAAAGAATTTGCACCAGTTTTGTAAATACTCCATGAAAACTTCCCATTTCTGTAGAGCAAGAATACCTGCTGGGTATGTTTGATATGTTTCATTTCTCCCCAGTGAAAACCTTTCTTGGAGCAGGGGAGATCACACAGCTCCCACTGCCATCCAAAATTTGGCACATACTGATTTAATGTTTAACAAGAAAAAAACCCTTGAGGAGAAACTCACCTCTCTAAGAATAGCATTGCCATCGTTGGTCATCACAATCCCACCCATGGGGTCCAAAAGCATCTGCAAGAAGAGAATCAACACTTGAGTGCTCTGTCCCACGTGGGTCTCACTTCTAATCAGCTGCAGCACAAATTCTTACCTTCATCATCGCTCTCGGTCCCAAACATGTTCGGATAATGTCAGCAATAGTCTGGGAGGAATCAAAGAAAGGAGGTAATACAGGAGGGCATCAAAAAGCCCCAAAAAATCCCCATAGTGAAAATCAGCAGCCCCTGCAAAAGTTAAAGTCATCCAACAGCTCTGCTGTGGGGTTGATTGTGCTGTTGAGATGCAGCCATGGTTAAGAATTGTATGGAAATGAGAATATGGGGATTATCAAGACACTGGAACCACACTGAATTATTATCTCAGTCAGATGTCAAAACTGAGACACTTTCAGACTTTGCAGAGAAAAGGGGTTTGGTTAGCTAAATCCCTCCATGGTTATTTATAGGGTACCCATTACATGAACAATGCAGATATTTTGGTTTTACACAGAATTTTTTATGTAATAGTACAGGAATCTTCTGCTGCCATAGAAAATTATTTTTTATGTTGCTTCTTCTTCTACTCTACATTCATATCAAATAGAGAAAATATGTTCCACATTCAGTTTTCCCTCTGAAATCTATAAATACACACACACACAGCCTGAGAATTTGGTACCTTTGCAGCAGTGATGTTTCCTGTCTGGACTTTTCTTCCAGACTCACGTTTTGTATTCTGACCTAAAGAATACAGAAAAAATAAAATTAATCAAGTACAAAACATCAAGGATGCAGTCACCTCTCAGTCACACATTCAACACATGACCAGATTGAAACTCAGAGTTTACAACACAAATACTGCAGTCATGATGAGAAATACATTGTTAGAAAACTGTCAGTGAAAACCAACACTACCTATTGTAACAGAACTCCTTGTTAGCAGCCTGAGACAAAGCTTTGCAACCCCGAAACAGGACCTATTACCCCAGAAAAATCAAACTGCAGGGACTCGCTGGGATCTGCCAGATCTCACAAAGCTGAGGAGCTGCTATTGTACAGCAGCCTTCAGTCAAAAAAAGTTACAGAGGCTCATGTACAGTGAGCAGAACTGTAAGGGTGATCATTAAGCTAATCCATCAATGTTATTTTGGCACCTGAGGGTGAGCAGCAGCTGGGGTACTGAGTGGTTCACAACCACAGCTGGAACCCAGCTGTCAACAAACTCAGCCCTAGGGCACATTTGGGCTCAGGGATGCTTTTCTGCTATTGCAAGCCTGGCCCGAGCACGCCCGGATTTATTCAGGAGCAGATACACAGGGAGGTGTAAGACAGAACAAAAGGAAGCAACAGCAAGAGCAGCACCAGGTCTCAGGCAAGCAGGCTTACAGAAAAGGGGTGCTGGGCTATGATAGTCTGCCTAATGGGTTAATAGAGAGCAGAATGGATGGAGAAGACAATGAGATACCCGAACAGGAAAAAAAAAAAAAAAACAAACCCGGGAATACTTCATGTTGGTAGAAGGTGAGAGAATCACAGAATGGTTTGGGTTGGAGTGGACCTTCAAGACTATTTCATTCCAAAACCCTTTCATGGGCAGGGACACCTATTAGAGCAGAGCTCCAAGCTCTGTCCAAGCTGGCCTTGGACACTTCCAGGCATGGGGAAGTCACAGCTCCCCTGAGCAATATGTGCCAAGGCCCTACCACTGCCACAAGGAAGAATTTCTTCCCACTATCCCGCCTAACCCTATCACTCCAGGCCCTTGCCTAAAGTCCCTTTCCAGCCCTCTTGGAGCCCCTTTAGGCCCTGGAAGGGGCTCTGAGGTCTACTTGGAGCTTTTACTTCTGCAGGCTCAACACCCCCAGCCCGTGTCCAGAGCAGAGGGGCTGCAGCCCTTGGATCATCTCTGTGGCCTCCTCTGGACTCACTGCAGCAGCTCCAGAGGCCCAAGAATTGGGGTTCAAACGGGGCAGGACAAAGCAACGTGCTGAGAAAGACGCGAGCACGGAACGCTTCCAGAAAAGGTCTGAACGCAGCGGGCTCCGGGCTGTGGGCAGGGAGCTGTGAGGGGGAGCTGGGGGCAGCAGCGATTCACGAAGGGGCTGCAGCCCTTGGATCATCTCTGTGGATTCCTCTAGACCCGCTCCAGAAGCTCCCAAGAACTGGGGTCCACATGGGGTTCAAACAGGGCAGGACAAAGCAACGTGCTGAGAAAGACGCGAGCACAGAACGCTGCCAGAAAAGCTGAGGGCAGCGGGGTCCGGGGTATCCCGCGCAGGGCGCGGCAGAGGCTGTGGGCAGGGAGCTGTGAGAGGGAGCTGGGGGCGATTCCCGGAGGGGCTGCAGCCCTTGGAGCCTCTCCGTGGCCTCCTCTAGACCCGCTCCAGCAGCTCTGGAAGCCCGAGAACTGGATCCGCGGCAGGACAGGCGGGCCCGGCCGGAACCGGCCGTGAAAGCGCGCCCGGCCATGAGGAGCCGCAACATGGCGGCAGAGCGGGGCGGGGGTCCGAACCGGCCACCCCCTCGCCCTCCGCCCCGGCAGTGCGGGCCGGGCCCGCTCTATTGTTAGAGCGTCTAAACGCCGGCATTTACCTTCTATTCTACATGCTCGCCAGCTAACTCCCATTGCTAACTGCCATCCTCCACCTACACAACCAAATCGGTGCATTATAGTTCCCGATACTTAAACTCTCACATCCCACATTAAACACCGCTTGATCAAGCCTAGTCGCAAGCCTAGCCCTACTCCTAGCCTTCATAGTTAAAGCCCCCCTATATAGTTTACACCTATGACTCCCGAAAGCCCACGGAGAAGCCCCCATTGCCGGTTCCATGCCCCCATTGCTGGTTTCAAGCCCCCACTGCCGGTTCCATGCCCCCATTGCTGGTTTCAAGCTCCCACTGCCGGTTCCATGCCCTACTCCTAAAGCTCTGAGGCTACGGCATCATACCAGTCACTATCCTAATAAACCCAGCATCAAATAACCTCCACTACCCCTTCACCACCCTAGCTATGAGGTGCACTAATAACCAGCGCTGTCCACCCACCACAAACCGCTCGGAACTTACTGAGAACCAGGACGGGGCGCGGGCCCATCATCGCGGCGGAACCTTCTGGAGCCTCGCGGAGCCGCCACACCGCCCCCCCCACGCCGCCCTTAATGGCGCGCTCGGCTGGGAAGTGACGCTGAGCGCAGAGGGCGGGGACCCGCCGCACCCAAGGCCGAGCGGAGGGGAGGAACGGAACCCTGCACAGCCCCGGAGGAGAAGCGGCGGGCGCCGCCGGGCGGGCGGCGGAGTGGACGTTTCGCTGCCGCCTCTCCGTTGAATCCGGAAGGCAGCGAGTCCGAGATGTCACGGGCGAACTCGACTCGTAGAGGCAGAGCTCAGTGAGCCCCCCTCGCCCAGCCTGCGCTGTAGGAGCCCAGCGGAAGGAATGAGGGTGAGGCGGCCCCGCCTGTCCGACCGCGCCGGCCGGGCCCGGGACTGCCGAACCCTCTGAGCCCCTCCGGACCCCCCAGGCCTCTGTCTGCCTTAACCCCCGCCGTGGACCAGCCGGGCGCCCCCCGGCCCCAGTTTTGTCAAAACTAAAGTAATTTTTTATTATTTGGCTGGGTGGGTGCGGTGGCGCTGCGCCCACCCCACCACTCCGCAGTGCCTTGGGGGCTGCTGGAGGGCCCCCCAGCGTGTTGGGGAGCAGCCCCTGTGCCCCAATAAACGGATCCTCTTCTTTCCACGGTCGTGATTTGGGGCTGGGGGAGAGCAGGGGGGTCCTGCTGGGTTACAAGGGGGGGGACCCCAGTCTGGGGGTGCAGAGGCCCCATAGCAGCGTGGAGGGGCGGGACCACGATCAAGGGGCGTGGTTTGGGCGGAGTCAATGTGGATTGGGCGGGGCAAGAGCAAAGGGGCGGAGGGGGCGGGGCTGGGGTGGAGGGGCAGGACTGAGCTGAGGGGCGGTGCTTGAAAGGGCGGGGCAAACATCGGGGCGGGGCTTATGGGGAGGGGCGGGGCCGTGACTGGTGACGACCCCCTGGGAGTCGCGTGTGTCGCGTTCATTTAGGGGCACTTTAAGGGGTCTGCAAGGAGGACACCACATGGGACAAGTGTGACCACACCGGGTGACACAGCTCCGACAAGCCCCGCCTATTTCAGCCTAAGCCCCGCCCCTCCCACCTGAGGCACCACCCCCAATCCCCCCCCGGCCCATCACACCCTGCGAGCTGTTGGGGCGTTGCCATGGCAACACCGCGACAGTGGCTTTGGACACGCTGTCACAGTCCAGGACAGCAGGACAGCACCGATAGCCCCGAGAGCCCCGCGATGGCAGCCGCGACTGCCGGCACAGGATCCCGGTCCCTCCGTGCCCGGGGCTCCTCCCGGAGGTCCCTCCTCGCCCGCCGTCTGCAGCGTTCACCGCCGGGATCTCAGTCCGTCCGTCCCGATGGCTCCCCCGGGCTCCCCAGTTCCCCTACTCCCCGCAGGATGTCCAGCTCCTCCCGCTGACCCCCGGCCCCTCTGTCCCCTCTGGATGTGCCCCTGACACCCCCGCTCCTGCCGGGATCTCTCCGTGTCCAGGGAGCACCAGGTGGGGCGGAGGGCTTCAGGTGCCTCAAACTTTTCTTTTCGGCAGGTCACGGGCTCCAGCGACCCTGTCGTGATCTCTGAGGATGTGCCAAAACATCCTCGAGAGCTGCTCTCCTTCAAGCCCAAGCTCAAGACCATCCAAGTCATCACCAAGGACCTGATCCGGGAGCTCATGTAAGGCTGTGCCTGAGCCCTGAGGGGTTTTGGGGGCCCAGCAGGTGTCAGTGCAGCATCCCAAAACCTCTCTGACCACTCCTGGGGATCGTGCCCCCTGCATCCCAGCCTGGTGCCACTCTCACCACAATTTCCCTTCCTGCCTCACCCCAAAACAAGAGAGCCGGGTCCCCACGGCTTCCCCAGCACTTCCCTCGTTGCTCTGGGCTGGCTTGGTGGCCAGGTGGGCAGCTCAGGGAGCACAGGGACCTGTTGGGGTCTCCGTGCCACTGAGCTCTCTCCCTGTGTTCCCCAGCATTCCCCAGGAGAAGCCCCAGCCTTGTCTCATCATTGGGGAGAAGGAATACGAGAGGATCAAGGAATCAGCTCGAGTCCTGACTGAGGTGGAGCACTGGGACAGGGTGAAGACCCTGAGAGCCCGACAGGACGCTGCTTTTGTAGGCATTTCACTTCCTGCTTCCCCCTTTTCCTGCTCCCTGGCAGGCTCCAGGGGTGGTGGCTTCAACCCTTTTGTCCCTAATGTTTTGGGGCACAGGGGAGGCTGCAGGGCTCAGGGCTCCTCTGAGAGCTGGGCAGCACCCCTGAAATTGTGCCCAGCACTTCCAACGGCATGGGGTGTCTGCCCAGAGGTGTGGGGAAGGGTGCCCATGGCCATGCCAGGGCCCCAGGAGCCCCACATGTCCCCACTCAGTGTCGGGAATGCAGCACCTGGAGTGTGACCCCTGCGAGCCCTCGGGAAGGTGCCCGGGATTGGGCAGCGCTCCCTGTCCCCACAGGAAGCCCTGAAAAAGGCCCAGATGGAGGAGCAGAGAAAGGCAGAGCTGGAGGACAAGAGGGACTGCTGGGGAGACGAGGAGGAGGAGCAGAAGCTGCTGCAGCGGGCAGTGAGGATGAGGCTGGAGCAGGAGGAAGATGTGAGGGAGCTGAACACGGTAGGGCCCGCGCTTGTGACAGCGTTCACAGGGGTCTCAGGCTGAGGGAAGAGACGAGGATCTGACTCCGTGTTTCAGGAGGCTTGATTTATTATTTTATGAAATATATTACATTAAAACTATACTAAAAGAATAGAAGAAAGGATTTCATCAGAAGGCTGGCTAAGAATAGAATAGGAAGGAATGATAACAAAGGTTTGTGGCTCGGGCTCTCTGTCCGAGCCAGCTGGGCTGTGATTGGCCATTAATTAGAAACAACCACATGAGCCCAATCCCAGATCCACCTGTTGCATTCCACAGCAGCAGATAACCATTGTTTGCATTTTGTTCCTGAGGCCTCTCAGCTTCTCAGGAGGAAAAATCCTAAGGAAAGGATTTTCCATAAAAGATGTCTACAACAGGCGCTCCCCTCTGTCACCTGGCACTGCTGAGCCTCCCCTGCTCCTCGTGCTCCCGGGCTCTTCCTCTCCTTCCCTGGCCCTCCCTGCTCCCTGTGTCCACAGACACCTCCTGTCCTCACAGCTGTTCCTCAATGCCAAGTGCAGCATGATCTGGGACAAGCAAGTCCTGGAGAAGAGGATGATGCACAAGGAACTGGCGGAGGAGGAGAAGCGCCTGGACAAGATGATGGAAATGGAGCGGGAGAAGGGCATGGAGGTCCAGGAGGAGCTGCAGCGCCAGAGGAAGCAGGAGCTGATGAGGTGGGCATCCCTCCCTCTTCCCCATGGAGGCATCTGGCCCATTCCAACCACACCAGCCCTGTCCATGCCAGTGTTCCCACAATGGGGAGCAGGATGGAGTGAAACCCTTCTCATATTCCCAGAGCCCGGCAGGACATTGTGAAACAGATGGAGCAGAACGCAGAGGAGAGGGCACTGAGGGCTGAGGAGCTGTACCAGGAGGGCCAGAGGCAGCTGGAGCGACTGGAGCAGATGAAGAGGGAGGATCTGAAGGTGGGAGCAGGGAACGGGGGGTGCAGGGAGGTTTCCACCTGGCAGAGCTGGATCAGCCACACTCAGGGAGTGGGGACAGCAGCCAGCAGGATCAGAGCTCTGGTCCCTTGGGAAGAGGTGACCCAAAGCCTCCCTGCCTGACTGAGGAGGAGGAAGGAGCGTTCACCTTGGTGGTCTCCAACCCTGCATGGCATTTCCAGGCCTGGGAGCAGAAACAGGAGCGACAAAAGCAAATCCAGGCTGATATTAAACGTTTCAACATGGAGAGCCAGAGGCTGAAGGATCAACAGCGGGAGCAGGAGAGGCTGGAGGACGAGCGGGTGCTGGAGCAGCAGCGGCAGAAGGCTGTAAGAGCAGTGGGCTCCTGGTGGGGTGGGCAGGGGCTGCAGGAGCTGTCCTGGGGCCCTGTCCCATCCCTGGGGCTCAGTCCCATCCCTGGGGCTCTGTCCCATCCCTGGGGCTCAGTCCCATCCCTGGGGCTCTGTCCCACCCCAGGGCTCTGTCCCACCCCAGGACTCTGTCCCCCGTAGGAGCGCGAGGCTGCCTTGGAGGCAGAGCAACACCAACTGCGTCTGGAGAAGGAGAAGGAGCTGGCCCGGCTCAGGGCCACACAGGAGCGGGCCCAGGCCTGGCAGGCAGTGCAGGTGAGTGGCCCAGGCACAGGTGCTGTGCTCCCCTGCCATTGTCCCTGTCACCACCCTGGCGAAGGGGCAGCACCCCTGGATGTGGGGGCTCTGCAGGACCAGCCCCTGGAGCCAGGGGATGTCCTGGAGTGGTGCTGGCAGAGCCAAAGCCACGGCCAAGAGCTTCCATAGGTGCCCCTGAGGGAAGCCCAGCACTGTCCTCTGTTTGGGCAGGATGCTCTGAGGGCCAAGAGGAACCAAGAGGTCGCAGACCGGGAGTGGCGGCGGCGGGAGCTGGAGAAGGCGCGGAAGAAGGCTGAGCTGGAGCAGCAGCTGAAGCAGGACCAGCTGGAGCAGGTGGCCCAGAAGGAGCAGTACCTGGCCATGCAGGTGCAGCAAGACCGCCAGGAATTCCAGAGGGTGCTCAGGTGAGGCACACAGGACTGAGGGATGGCTGAGGTTGGTGGCCAGGGGGCTCCCAGTTCCAGTTGGTGGCTCTGGGGGCTCCAGTGCCAGCCCAGGTGCTGTGCCAGGTGTGGGGGGATGTGGCAGGGTCCCTGAGTGTCTTGGTTTGGAAAGGCAGGAGTCTGCTAAAGAAGGCAGGAGCTTCCCCTGAAATGGAGAATGTAAACCCTCCCCACCCCTCTGAATTGCTGTAAATGTTAAATTAAGGGGCTCTCAGGCAAAAATATAGGAGTAGGAAATAACAGTTCTTTAATAGGGAAAAGGAAAAAAAAAAAGGATAAAATAAACAATGCAATGCACTAGAACAACACTGCCAGAGTCAGAACCCAGCCTGACACCCTGTGGGTCAGGGTGTTGGTGGCAGTCCCATTGGAAATGTGGCTGCAGCCCTCCTGCAGTATCAGGGGTGGTTCTGTTGGAGCAAGGGGGTCCTGTAGAGAAGGATGGATTCTGCCTCTGAGGATCCAGTGGAAGGAGAGGCTGCTGCTGTTCCTCTGGGGAATCCCGTGGAGAAGCCGTGCTGGTGTCTCCAAACCTCTGGATTATATCTGGGTAGGAATGCTTGGCTCCTCCCTCTGGGCGGGGCATCTCCCAATGGGATGTTCTAGCTCTTATCAGCCATGCAGGGACATTCCATAGCTGTTATCAGCAGATGTCCCCTCCCAGGGAGGTGTGAATGTGGTCACTCAAAGAGAGAGAGATAAAGCAAACTGCCCACTTGACAAAGCTAATCTGCCATACAGATGGCAATGGAAAAAACACCTTGCATTGCAATCTTCAACACTGAGCCAGCCCAGCTCTCCCTCAGGGCCCTTCAGGAGCAGCTGGAGCGGGAGAAGCTGGAGCAGGAGCAGAGGCAGCTCCGGCAGCGCGGCCATGCCGAAGGTCTCCAGCGGCAGATCCAGGAGCGGCAGCGGCAGCGGGAGCGGGCGGCTGTCACTGAGGAGGGCCGGCGGCTGCAGCGGGAGATCCGGCAGCACAGCCAGCGCCTCGCCCAGCTCAGGCAGCAGAAGCTGCAGGAGTTCAGGTCAGGGGCTGTCTGTGCTGCTTTCAGGGCTCCCTGAGTCCCTCCTGGTGTCCCACCCCTCATCTCCATCTGCATCCTCGGCTAACGGGCCCTTCCATCGGGAGCCTGATGGATTCTTTCCTCTGCAGAGCCACCGGAATTCCTGACAAATATTTTGCCCAGTTAGAGCGCAGGGCACGGAGCCGAGCCAGCAGAGCCCCTTCCTAGGCCCAGCCCCACCAGGAACTTATTGGGGGCTTTCCCAGGAAATCGTTCCTTTTGTGACCCTTTGGACTCTGAACCTTGTTGCTGTTGGTTTTATTCTCTCTCGTTGCAATTTCAGGAAATTGTTCTTCTCTCAGCCCTTTGGGATCTTTGTGCCTCCACGGGGAGGGAGAGGGGCAGCAGCCCCTGGTTTTTAGTGACAGCCCAGAACTGGAGAATCCCATTCCCAAAGCCCGACAAAGCTGAACAAACACCATCTCTGCCAGTTTAACCAAAAAGCTGCATTTTGGACCAAATACAAAGGAAATGGCTCCTGTGCCCCCTGGCACTGGGAGAAGCCTGGGGGGCCATGGGTGTACTGGGGGAACTGGGATAGGGAAAGGAGAGCACTGGGGGCCCTGTGCAGCCCCCCCTGACTCGTGATCATCACCCCAGGCAGGATGGGCCACAACGGGAGCCATGGGATGGGGACTCCCAGTGTCCCCCAGTGTCACAGCACGTTCCCATGGATGTCACTGGTGTCCTGCAGTCGCCCGTGTGGTCCTGGCAGCTCTGCCTGGGTCACCTGGGGATCCTTGGGAGGGACAGTAAGGGACACCTGGCTGGGGGTGACACCCATGGGTGACATGTCTGTGTCCCCACCCATCCCCCAGACTCACCCCCTGCCCCCTCGGTGTCCAGCTCCTCCCCCTCCTCCAGGGGATAAGGGGGATCTGGGAGGGCCCTGTGGGGATAAGGGGGGGTCTGAGGGGTGTCTGGGGAAGGGGGTCAAGGAGAGCCATGGCTGGAGCTCCCCACTCACCTGTCCTGGGATTTCCTGAGAGCTGCAAGAAAAAGAGGACGGGGTGATCATGGGGTGCCCTGGGCCCCAACCCCACCTGGGACCTTTAAATGCCCACAGGACCCCTGAGCCCCCACCAGACACTGATTTCTACTGGACTCCCAGGCCCCTGCACCCCAAACCACCCCTGAGGAGCCCCAGAACACCTGAGCCACCCAGGTACTCCAACCCCCTCCCCAGGACCCCTGAACTGCCTTGGGACCCTGATTCTTCACACAGCCCCTGAGCACCCCTCAAGCCCCCAAAAACCCCAGGAATGGAATGCAGGGAAGCCTCCAACAGCTCCAGGATCCCTGGAGAGCTCTCAACATCCCTGCACAACTCTCCAACACCTCCCTAAAAGCCCCCAGGCGATCCCAGAGTCACCCCAATATTCCTCAGGGCCCTTCCTGGCACAGCCCAGGACCCTCCAAAATGTCCCCAACCCTGTGAGCACCCAAAGCAAAGGTCAAGGTGGGCTCAGCTTCCTCCAGGTCAGGGGCTTTGGGTGATGCCTCAAGTGCCCCCCCAGTGTGTGGGGCTTCCCCCCAGTTCCTGTAGGACCTCGTGCCCCCCCATTGTCACCCACCCCGGCGGTGCCACCAGTGACAGCCCCCAATGACAGCCAGGAGCAAGAGCAGGAACAGGAGGGTCCTGCCGACATTCACAGCCACTGCTGGGGACAGAGGGGACACATTGGGGTCACCTGGAACCCTGGAGGTCCTGAACACCCCGGTGACCCCATGTGACCCCACCTGTGACCCAGGGTGAGCCAGGTGTCACCTCCAGGGCCAGCTCAGGGCTGAGTGCCCGGAACACGGTGTGCCCGTCCTTTCCCAGCTGGTTGGTGGCCATGCACTGGTAGGTGCCTGAATGTCCCACGTCGGTGTCCCTGAGCTCCAGGAGGGGACCCTGGGCCACCTCCCGCCCGTTGTGCAGCCAGGTGAAGGTGACAGGGGCTGAGCCCACCTGCACCGAGCAGCGCAGGGTCACGTTGTCACCTGCATGCACCTGGTGTGACAGGGGACCGGGGGTGATGGTGGCATTGGCCACGGGCGCTGTGGGGACAGAGAGAGGGCTGAGGGTGATGGTGGCATTGGCCACGGGCACTGCGGGGACACAGGCAGGGCTGAGGGCACAGGGAGGGGCTGGCAGCCACTGTGGGGGGATAGGGACAGGGAGGAATGGGTGTGGTGGGGGATGTTGGCAATGGGGTCACATCAGGGAGGGGTGAGGGGACACAGGGCAGAGGCGGGGGGGACACAAGAAAGGTGTCAGGGGGACATGGGGGTCCCCGACCAGGGGATCCCAGGAGGCTGAGGGGGCTCCCCGTGCCCATCCCCGCACTCACTGTGCACCGTGACGCGGAGCTGGGCGCTGCTCTTCCGCACGGCCCCGCCCTCGGATCGCACCTCACAGCCGTAATCCCCCGAGTGGGAGAGCCCCACGGCGGGCAGCAGCAGCTGCGGGGACCCCTGCGGGCCCCCCACCACCTGCCCGTCCCGGTAGAACACGTGCAGGAGGGGGGCTCGGGGCCGCAGGGGGCTGCGGGTGCTGAGGCAGCTGAGAGTCAGGGGGGACCCCTCGGTGGGCTCGGGGGGACCCTGCAGCACCAGCACCGGCTCTGTGAAGAGCTCTGGGAGGGAGAGGGGAGGGGGATTTGTGAGCCGGCATCCCTGGGGAGGGGCTGTGGGGGTGTCAGGGTGGCAGCTGTGGGGTGCTCACCGTGCACTGTCACTGTCACTGGCACTGACTCCTTCCACCCCCAGTATCCCACCTGGCCCCTGCAGCTGTAGCGGCCGCTGTGGTTCAGCTGCAGAGGGGACAGGGACAGCTCGGGGCCATCACGGAGCCTCTCCAGTTCTGTCTCCTCTCGGTAGAAGGACACCGATGTGACCTTCGTGTTCTGCCGGCCCCGGCAGCGCAGTGTCACCGTGTCCCCCTCCAGCAGCGCCCGCACCGGCGCCTGCAGCACCAGCCAGTCTGGGGACAGAGGGCTCCTGTCACACCCGATGGCACCGGGACCCCCCATTGGGTGACACCCAGCGCACCAGGGGTCCCCAAATCCAGCACTGGGATCCCCCAACACTGGGATGTCCCCAGAGCAGGGGATGGGCTCTGGTCACACAGGAGGTGACCCATGGAGCGGAGCCCACCCAGAGCCCTCAGGGTCCCCATGGGTGCCAGCCTGGGGACACCCAAACGTCCCTCACCTTCTGAGACTGTCACGGAGGGGCTGTGCCCAGTGCCGGGTCTGTAACACCTGTAGGTGCCACTCTCGGTGACACTGAGGTGGTCCTGTCCCTCCTGCCCCCAGCGCCGCCTGTCCTTGTACCAGGTGGTGTCACCGGCGGTCCCCAAGCCCTGGCAGGTCAGGGTCACCCGGTCCCACAGCAACGCCGGCCTCCAGGGGGGCTCCACCAGGAGCTGGGTGGTCTGGGCACCTGTGGGTGACAGGGGACACCAGCCTGCCAGGGCCAGTGTGGGTCTGGGAACAGCGGGGTGGGGCCATGGCATCCCCCGAGGACTCACCAGCGAGGCCGAGGGTCTGGGCTGGAAGGGAGAAGGGACAGGGCTGGGTGAGGGTGGAACCATGGGGACAGCAGCACCAGGGTACAGGGAGTGGGGGCTGTCCCCAAACTGTCCCCGTGGGGGCAGCAGTTCTTGTTGGAAAATGTGTCTGGGTGGTCCCCAAAAGTTTTGGTGAGGCAGGGGGACATGTCTGTGTCACAGCCACCCATGCACCACATCCCTGTGGCACAGACACCTTGGGAACAGGGACACTGAGGCCACCCTGGGCTGAGGCAGAACATGGGGACACTGGGGACACCCCGGGCATGATGACACCACAGACACAGCCCATGCTGGCCCAGGTCACCCCCACCACCTCATGATCCCATCCCCGTGATCCCATCCCCATGGCCACATCCTCACCGTTCTTGTTCCCTTCTGTCCCTGCATCCCAGTTCCCTTGTCCCCATCCCCAGAGCTACCTGAGCCCAAAGGTGCCAGTCCCCACATTCCTGTCCCCACATCCCCATCCCCAAATTCCTGCCCCCCTATTCCTGTCCCCAAAGCCACCCTACATCCCCAGTCACACCAATGCCCACTGTGGGTACCATGCTCTGGCTCTGCTGGCATTGGGGATCTCAGGGGACCCCACAGCCCCCCTGTGCCCCCTCCCCTCCCCATCCCCAGGGTGTCAGGCCCGTGCCCGGGGCACTCACCCCACAGGAGCAGCGCCACCTTCCCGGCCATCCCGGTGTCCCCACCTATGTGCACTGGCTGTCACTCTCTGCCAGGGGTGGCTGTCCCCTGGGTGGTGGCTTTTTGGCTAAAGGGGAAGGAAGCCAGGTCAGGTCTTGCCCTCATGCGTAAGTGGCCCTTGGTGGGGGCAGGGTGGCCACAAGCTGGTCACAGGATGGGGACAAGGCTGGGTGGGACACAGTGGGACAGGGGGTTCCCAGGAGTGAGGGGCTCAGAGGCTCAGGGATGGGTGTCCAGGGGAATGAGGGGTCCCAGGGATGGGGTCCCTGGGAATGGGGGTGCCATGGGAATGGGGGTGCCCAGGGCTGGGGGGACTCAGGGATGGGAGTGCCAGGGGAACGTGGGCTCCAGGGATTTGGGGTCATGGGATGGGGGTGCTGGGGGAATGGGGGGGTCCCGTGGGAATGGGGGTCCTGGGAGAATCAAAGTTCTGGGGGAAGGAGAATTTCAGGGGTGCTGGGCCATGGAGATCCTGGGGAATGTGAGTACTGGGATAGGGGTCTCAGGCAAGGTGGGACATAAGGAATGGGGGTCCCATGTTTCGGTTCTCAGGGAAATGAAGGTGCCAGGGACGGGCAGTGGCTGGGTGGGCCTATGGGTCTCAGCTCCTTCCCTGGGTGCCTCAGCTTTTGGGGTGACCCAGAGCCCAGCACAGCCCCCACAAGGTGCTGGCAGCCAGGGGCTCACCCCAGACAGATTCCAATGTGCTCTGGGTCTGTGTCCCCACACCCCCAGTGACTTTTCCCTCTCTTTATTTCCATTTCCATCATTTTACCCCTCAATTTCACAAGTCCCCAGTTTGTGCCCTGATGATCCCTGAGCAGGGAAGGGGTTGGGGGAAGCCCAGGGTGGGGGAAGCAGGGGTGAGGGGTCTGCAGGGAGGGCTGGGGAGGCTGTGGGGGACGGGGGTGTCCAACTGTGCCCTCCCCAACACTTTCACTTCCTCTCTCCTGCAGCAGAAGGAAGAGGAAACATTCGTCATGTTTGTCACACTGTCCTAGGGGGGCACATCCAGGGGCTTCCTGTCCTGGGGAATGGCAGCTCTGGAGGGGTCCAGATTTCTCTATTCTTGCTCATCCCCTGCTGGATCTGAGCTGGCAAGAGCAGCTGGGGAATGGAGACCTGGGCAGGAAGGAGATCCCAAAATTCTCCTTGAAGACAAGGGTGGGGCACAGCCATGGCCACTCTAAGCCACAGGCCCCTGAACACCAACTCTGCCTCTTTTCCCTGGTTAACAAAACTCCCCACCCAGGCTCCTGATAGCAGATTGCAGGAGCCACTTGGCATTCCCAGAAAATTCCTTAAAACCTCCCACCAAAAAAACCCCTAAAATAGCCCTGAAAAAAACCTAAAAAAAACCAAAACCCAAAAACTTCTCAGTCCCCAACACCTGCAAGTGTCTAGCCCACAAACATCATCCCTGCTTTTTAATTGGGGTAACTACCTGCAGCTGCTGGGGGGGTTTTGGGGCTGTCCCAAAATTTGGGTTGCCGTGTTGTGCTGCTTGAAGGGTTTTGGGGCTGTCCCAAATTTAGGGTCACTGCCTTGTGCTGCTGTTGGGGAAATCTGGTGTCCCTGGGGTGCTGTTTAGGGTGAGCTTAGGGTTGGGGTGAGGGCTGCTGCACCTGGACCATAACCCTAAGGGGACACACAGGACATGGGGACAGGCAGGGACAGGGACATAGAGGACACGGGGGATGCAGGGCATGGACACAGAGGATGCAGGACCCATGGGGACACACAAGAGGACATGGGGGACATACAGGGGACACATGGGGACACACACAGGATATGGGGACACGCAGAACTGTTCTTGTGCTCCTGTCTGCCATGAGTGACTGAGGGTGGCGCTGTCCCCACATATGACAGTGACATTGCACCGTGACCCCACAGATGTCACCCCGACAACCCCAGAGCCCCTCCGCAGGGACTTGGGGTGACACGAGTGACGTCATTACGCTGCACCGCCGCAAACAGCGCCCCCTTCCTGTTCCCAGGGAAACTGCATCCCCGTTTCCATGGCAACACGCACCCTGTTCCCATAGCAACAGCATCCCATCTCCATGGCAACAGTCCCCCTTCCTCCTGTCAGCAGCCCCCCGTCCTCATGCCCTCAGCCCGCCAGTCCCATGGCAACAACACCTTTCTGTTCCCATGGTAACAGCCCCCTCCCCATTTCTATGCCCATAGCCCCTCGTTACCATGGCAACAGCCCCTCCCATTCCCATGCCTACACCCCCCCATTCCCACGGTAACAGGCCCCCAGACCCATGGCATCTGTAGCCCCCGTTTCCATGCCCACCTCTCCCCGTTCCCATGGTAACAACCCCTCGGTTTCCATGGCAACACCCCTCCTACCCGTGACAACAGCCCCGTTCCCATGGCAACACCCCCGCTCCCACGCCCCCAGCGCATGCGCCGCACTCTCCCCGCCTCCCCGTCTTCCTGACTGCATTTCCCATCACCCCCCGCGGCCCGCGGCGCGCTAACGGCGCTCGGCAGCTCCGCGGACTCCATTTCCCATCACACCCCGCGGCGCGGACAGGAGGGGCGGGTCCCTACGGCGGCCGTCGCGGGCCCGGTCTCGTGACGCGCGCCGTGCGCGGACGCCAAGATGGCGGACGAGGAGGGCGAAGCGCGGCCGGGGGCGCGGAACGGGGCCGGGGAGGGACCCCCGGGCGGGCCCCGCGTCGTTCGCATCGTCAAGTCCGAGTCGGGTTACGGCTTTAACGTCCGCGGGCAAGTGAGCGAAGGCGGGCAGCTGCGCAGCATCAACGGCGAGCTGTACGCGCCGCTGCAGCACGTCAGCGCCGTGCTGGGCGGAGGGGCCGCCGACCGCGCCGGGGTGCGCAAGGGGGACCGCATCCTGGAGGTGTGAGTACGGGGGGGCCGCCCACCCACAGCCCCCCGGCAGCCGGGCCCGGGAACGCGCCCCACACCCACGGGCAGTCCCGGGGGAACGGGAATGGGGATCCTGAAGGGGCCATGAGGGGGCTCTGGGGGCCATGAGGGGGCTCTGAGGGGCCCGGGCTGAGGGGACACCGAGCCCTTGGTGCGGTGTTGGGGTGCTGAGGGGTTCTGCGGGGCCTTGGGTGAGGGTGTCATGAGGGGGATTGAGACCCCCGGCTCTAGGGGGGATTTGAGGCGTCGTGAGGGGGCTGAGGATCGTGTGATGAGGAGGGACTGAGACCCCCGGGGGTTTGGGGGGAATCCTAAGGGGGCTGAGCGCCCTTTGGTGAGGTTTGAGGGGTTTTGGGGGCTCTGAGGGTCCCCTGGTGAGGGTGTGACTGGGGAGGAGGGGGAGCCCCCGACCCTTGGTGGGGATTTGGGGGGTCGTGAGGGGGGTGAGGGTGTCCTGAGGAAGAGACCCCCAGCCCTTGGTGGGGATCTGGGGGTCCTGAGAAGGCCCTGAGGGGGCTGAGGGTCCCTTGGTGAGGATGTCATGAGAAGGGCTTGAGACCCCCAGCCCTTGGTGGGAATTTGGGGGGGGTCCTGAAAGGGCTGAGGGTCCATTGGTGGGGATGTCGTGAGAAGGGGTTGAGACCCCCAGCCCTTGGTGGGGGATCTGGGGGTCCTGAGGAGGCACCAAGGGGGCAGAGGTTCCCTTGGTGAGGTTTAGGGGCTCCAAAAGGGGCGTCTTGAGGGGGCTGAGGGTCCCTTGGTGAGGGTGTCATGAGCCCTCAGCCCTTGAGGGAAATTTGGGGGGTTCTGAGGTGGGGGCTGAGCCCAGACTGAGCCCCCCAAGCCTCGCTGGGGGTTTTGGGGGGGGGTCTTAGAGGAGCCTCTCAAGGGGGAACACGGGGACCCTCCTGGGGAGGTCAGGGGGGAATTTTTAGGGATAAACCCTTTTGATTTCAACGTGGAGACTCCTAGGAAGGGCAGAGGAGCATTTTTAGGGATAAACCCTTTGGATTTCAGTGTGAGGACCATCCTAGGGAGGGCAGAGGAGCATTTTTATGGATAAACCCCTTGAATTCCAACCTGCAGACACTTCCTTCCCATTCCTGGCTCTCGTGTTCTCCAGCTGCTGCTTTTTCACACCCAAAATTGTAACTTTGCCCCAGAAAACACCTTCCCATGGGAATATTCCTGCTGTGTGGAAACTCATCTTCCTTTCCCCCCCCCAAAAAAAATAAAAAGTCCTTAAACTTTGTGGCTGAAATCCCTCAAACCCCAGCGTGGGGCTTGGTTTTCAGGGATCCCTCCGGATCCTCCCACCGTCGCACTTCGCTCCGGGTCGGTTAAGTCCAATTACTGATTAATTCCAGGGATTTCTGAGCTGCAGGAATGTTTTGCTGCCAGCTCTGGAAGTCCAAGGGGTGTGAGGAGCTGTCAGGACCTGCCCGTGGCCGGCGAATCCCGCAGAAATCCCAGCTGGGATTTGGCTCTGTCCCAGCTGACCCAAATTCCCGATTCTTTGATTCTTCTGTGCAGGAGAAGCTCTGGGAGCAGGAGGAATTCTGCACCTGGATGTGCCAATTGGGGGAGCAGCATTCCCAGGCTGAGGGGGGAGGGTTTTGTGGGCACTGGGATGAAATTTTCCCTCATTTTTGAGCGTTTTGGGGAACATTTAAAACACTGGGTTTGGCATGAGAGAGAGGTGCTGGAATTTTGGGGTTCAGTGGCCGGTCCCAAGTGAGGACTGGGGCGTGATGTGTGAAATAATTAAGCCCTAGGATTAATGATGGTTAATGAGCAGGGTTTGCTTGTGGTCTCCCAGTCCTGGTATCCCTATGGGAGCTGGAAGGATTGGGAATTTCCTCTTGGTTTATCCATTTATTTCCTGGGAGAGGTGGCTTTAATTTGTCCCTGTGTCCTGTAGGGCTGCCAGGTTGGCTCTTGCCCTATTCCTGTATTTATGTATCCCAATATTCAATATTCCAGTATTCCTGTATCCCAATATTCAATATTCCACTATTTATGTATCCCAATATTCAATATTCCAGTATTCCTGTATCCCAATATTCAATATTCCAGTATTTATGTATCCCAATATTTCAATATTCCAGTATTCCTGTATCCCAATATTTCCATAATCCAGTGTTTCCACATTCCAATATTTCAATTTCCTAACAGCCCTGTTTTCCAATATTTCAATATTGCAGTATTCCAATTTTCCAATAGCCTTGCATCCTAATATTTCAATATTCCTATATTTCAGTATTCCTGTGTGCCAATATTTCAATATTCCTCTATTTCAGTATTTCAGTATTCCTGTGTACCAATATTTCAATCTTTTATTATTCCTATATTTCAGTTTTTTAGTATTTCTGTCTTCCAATATTTCAACATTCCAATATTTTAATATTCCTGCATTTCAGGAATTTTTTAGCAATCCTGCCTTCCAATATTTCAATATTCCTATGTTTCAATATTTCACTATTTCAATATCCCAGTATTCCAACACTGCTGTATTCCTATTTCCCTATATTCCAATATACCAATATTCCCATAACTCAATGTTCCCATACTCCAATATCCCTATTTTTCAACATTCCAAGATTACCCAGTTCCCATATCCCAGCATTCCCATCTTTTCCTGCAGAAACCACCCAAAAATTCCCGAGTCCCATCCCCTGCTCTGGCAGCATTAAAACCCCCCCCTCATTTTCCTCAGCTCTGTGAAAATCCCAACTCCTGGAATTCCTGGAGGAGGAAACAATAACCCAGGAGTCCCAAAATAGCTCTGATTTCCCTTCCTTTCGCGGGAGCAGCGGGATCGGGGCGGGAAATCCGCTCTCCCGGCCATCCCGGTTCCTCCAGAGGGAACTCCCCAAAATCCAGGCCCTGGAGCTCTGGGAGGAGCTGCCTGGCTGGATTTGGGATGTTCAGGGTGTTGATTCCGTGCAGGATTTTCCTCCCCACCTCCTGGAATTCCCAGCAGACCGGCCCCGAGGAGGGGAATTTTTGGGGAGGAAGAGCCGGAGCAAGGAGGTTGTTCTGCTCCTGAGGGATTCCTGCTGGGATTTGTGGGGGATATTTGGGATTTGGGTGCTCACCTGTGGCTCTGGCACTGCACAGCTCATCCCTATCCTGGAAAACCCTGGAGATCACCCATCCAAGTGTGTTTCCCATGAAAAACCCACTCTTCCCCATCCTTATCCAACACCAATGGATGCTCCAGGTCCTTTTTCCATCCCTCCCTCCAGCTCCTCCCTGTGCCTTCCCAGGCTCTGGAATGCTCTGGAATGCTCTGGAATGCTCTGGAATCTGCAGGGACAGACAATGGGAGCTAATTGAACACTTGATTAACGCCCGGAATGTCGATCATCACCAATCCACCGGGAAGAGAAACTCTGGAGCTGTTTGAGGAAGGACAGAATGGAGGAAAAAGGGATTTATCCCTAACACTGAGTGGGAAAATGGATGGATTTAGGTGGGATGGGCAGGGCTGGGGCATCCTGGATCCCACCAGACTCATTGCTGCTGCAGGGAAACCTCTGGAACAGGTGCAGCACTGGGAAAATGTCAGGTTTTGATGGAATAACCTCCAGAATCTGCGTCTTCCCAATATTCATGAGGCTTTTCCCTCAGGAGGTTGGACTGTCCCTCTCTCCATGGGCTCAGTTTCCATTTTATGGGATGGGAGAAGGCAGCTCTGCCTTGGAAAGGTCTGGAATGGTCTCTGCACTGCAGTGGGAGCTGCTGGCTCGGCGCATTCCCGGTGTTCTGCTCGCCAAAGGCGCTGCTGGGAATTTGCCCCGGGAACAGGCAGTGGGAATTTCCTTGTCCAGAAGCCCTGAGGGGTCTTTAACCTTGGAAAATTTAGGAAATGGATTGGAAGGGGAAGGTAAAATCCCTCTGATCAGCAGCTGATTCTTCTTCCCATTCTTTTCTTTCCCATTTCTTCCCTTTTCCCCTCTGGAATTTCTTGGATCCTTCATGCACCCCATCCATTCCCAGCGATCTCCATCTCCAGGATGCTCCTTGCCCAGTTCCTCACAGTGAATTCCACTGACAGACCCCAGGTCAGGGAATTTTCCCGAATCCTGGTGGAAAATGACTCAATCCCAGTCAGAACAGGAACCCTGGAATGTTTTCCGTGTCATGGGGCCCTTGCTCATCCACGTTGGCGTGATGGGAATTCTGCTTCATCCTCACGCTTTGCCAGCAGCTCTGCTCTTCCCAATGGAAGATTCCCAGATCCCAGGATGTCCCAGCCTTTGCCAGCAGCTCTGCTCTTCCCAATGGAAGATTCCCAGATCCCAGGATGTCCCTGCCTTTGCCAGCAGCTCCGTTTTTCCCAATAGAAGAATTCCAGATCCCGGCCCAGCTGGTGGGTGAGATGTTTTCCACACTGCCTCCATTATATCCAGGGAATATCACACTGGGCTGAGGAGCTTCTTGCCAGCTCCTTGGAAAAGGGATGGGAGAGGAATTCCATGAGAAATCCAAACTCCAGCTTCCACCCGTTGAATCCCAGGCTTTCCCCACTGTAACCCCATGGCTTCTCCATCCTGTAGTGGGAAATGCCAGAACCTCCTGCTCTGGGTGGAACCCCTTCCACATTCCCAAAAAAAAAAGGGATTTATCAGAGGAAGTTGCTCCTGGAATGCTGCTGGGAGTGGCTCTCCTCAATTTCCCATCCTGTGGAAGAGAGGCAGATCCGCCTTCCCTGCAGGAAGGATCCCTTGGATATGGTGTCATCTCTTGGATCTTGATGTCCTTTCCCTGCTCCCCTTGCATTCCCTGGATTCCCTGAAGGATCAGAGCAACACCTGGATCCATTTTCCAGCTCCAAGCAGAGCCAGAAGCTTGAGGAGCAAAACATCCCAGTCTTCCTTTTTCTTGGGAAGAGGCTCCTGGATCCCACCTGGATTTAATATGCCTGGATTCCAGCCTCTGTTGCTGTGGTGACTTCATCCCAAAGTTCTGACTCCTCCTGCACCTTGGAGACACGAGCAGGGAGGCATCCAAGCTTGGGAAGACCCTCTGGGACTGATGGGGAGCCAGCATTTTTGGGAATGGAATTATTTCTTTTGGGAATTCTGGGTCCTGTCCACGCCCTTTTCCCAGAATTTGCTGTTGGCTCGAGGAGAAAACATCCAAAGGTTGCTCCATTGTCCCTTTTCCCTGGAATGATACAGGAGCTCCAACAGGTTTGGACAGCCTTGGGTAGTGTTGGAGCTGGAGGAAACTTTTCCAGCTCCTGCAAGAGTTGGAATTTTTGCAACCTGGATCTCTCACCTGGATTTGTAAGCGGAGATCCAAACTTTCCAGGGTGATTTCTTGTAAGGAAAAACTCCATAAAAATGGATGGATGGGACTGGTCAGAGCTGTTCCCTTCCCTTGGAGAGCTGGGAATTGAAGGCCAAATCCCACTCTGGATCCTGGGACCAGCCAGCAGCACAGAATGAGGGCAATTCCAGGCTTTTTGGTGGAGAAATTCCTTGGTGGGAATTGGGATTGCGGCGCCATCGCCACGATGAGAAATTCTGAGCAACTTTTCTGGAAGGGATTCCTTGTCTCCAAAGCAGCTTGGGAATGTCTTGGGTCTAAAGCACTTCCATGGGATTCCAGGAGGTTTGGGATTGACTGGGATGAGTTTTCCTGGGCAGATTGGCCAAGGTGGAAATCCTGGTGGAAAATGATCCAGATTTTCTGGGCAAAGCCAAATCTTTTCCATGAGGTTCTTGGGAATGTCAGGAGGTGGCTTGGGAATATTTTCTGTATTTCCATGGGACTTTCCATTGTCTCCAGAACATTTGGGATTACTTGGGATGAATTTTCCAGGGCAGGTTGGATCCATGTTTTCTGGGCAGAGCCAGATCCAGACCATGGAGCTCTTGAGAATGTCAGGAACGTTCTAGAGGTGGCTTGGGAATGTCTTGGGTCTAAGGCACTTTGATGGGATTCCAGGAGGTTTGGGATTGACTGGGATGAGTTTTCCTGGGCTGGTTGGCCAAGGTTTGATCCAGATTTTCTGGGCAAAGCCAGATCCTTTCCATGAGGTTCTTGGGAATGTCAAAAATGTTCTTTGGGGTTGGCTTGGGAATGTCTTCAGCACTTCCATGGGAATTTGGGATTTGTTCCCTTTAGGAACGGGGTGAGCATGGAGGGAGCCACGCACAAGCAGGGGGTGGATCTGCTCCATGGGAATTTGGGATATTTTTCTGTGCAGGAACGGGGTGAATTTGGAAGGAGCCACCCACAAGCAGGTGGTGGATCTGCTCCATGGGAACTCAGTGGGAATTTGGGATATTTTCCCCTTTAGAAATGGGGTGAACATGGAAGGGGCCATGCACAAGCAGGTGGTGGATCTGCTCCAAGGGAATTTGGGATATTTTTCCCTTTAGGAGTGGGGTGAATGTGGAAGGAGCCATGCACAGGCAGGTGATGGATCTGCTCCATGGGAACTCAATGGGAATTTGGGATATTTTCCCTGTAGGAATGGGGTGAACGTGGAGGGAGCCACGCACAAGCAGGTGGTGGATCTGCTCCATGGGAATTTGGGATATTTTTCCCTGTAGGAACGGGGTGAATGTGGAGGGAGCCACGCACAGGCAGATGATGGATCTGCTCCATGGGAACTCAGTGGGAATTTGGGATATTTTCCCCTGTAGGAACGGGGTGAACGTGGAAGGAGCCACGCACAAGCAGGTGGTGGATCTGCTCCATGGGAATTTGGGATATTTTCCCCTGTAGGAACGGGGTGAACGTGGAAGGAGCCACGCACAAGCAGGTGGTGGATCTGCTCCATGGGAATTTGGGATATTTTCCCCTGTAGGAACGGGGTGAACATGGAGGGAGCCACGCACAAGCAGGTGGTGGATCTGCTCCATGGGAATTTGGGATATTTTTCCCTGTAGGAACGGGGTGAACATGGAGGGAGCCACGCACAAGCAGGTGGTGGATCTGCTCCATGGGAATTTGGGATATTTTCCCCTGTAGGAACGGGGTGAACGTGGAGGGAGCCACGCACAAGCAGGTGGTGGATCTGATCCGTGCTGGTGAGAAGGAGCTGGTGCTGACGGTGCTGTCGGTGCCGCCGCACGAGGCCGAGAGCCTGGAGCCGCCCGAGGAGCCGCTGGGGCCGCCCTTCTACGACTACAGCGAGAAGCAGGCGGTGCCCATCTCCATCCCCACCTACAAACACGTGGAGCAGAGCGGGGAGAAGTTCGTGGTGAGGCTTTTGTCCCCCTGGGAATAGTGGGGGGGGAAATCTGTGGGTTTTGTTTGGGGTCTTGTTCGTTTCTGGGGTTAGGGGGGTTGTTGGCACTAAGTAGCGGGATTGAAATGTGGGATTGTTGAAATATGGGAATGTTGGAATGTAGGGATGTTATGATATAGGATATAGGGATGTTAGGATATAGGGATGTTATGATATAGGATATAGGAATGTTAGGATATAGGGATGTTATGATATAGGATATAGGAATGTTAGGATATAGGGATGTTATGATATAGGATATAGGGATGTTATGATATAGGATATAGGAATGTTAGGATATAGGATATAGGGATGTTATGATACAGGGATGTTATGATATAGGATATAGGAATGTTAGGATATAGGGATGTTTTGATATAGGGATGTTATGATATAGGATATAGGAATGTTAGGATATAGGGATGTTATGATATAGGATATAGGAATGTTATGATATAGGATATAGGAATGTTAGGATATAGGATATAGGGATGTTATGATACAGGGATGTTATGATATAGGATATAGGGATGTTAGGATATAGGGATGTTATGATATAGGATATAGGGATGTTAGGATATAGGGATGTTTTGATATAGGGATGTTATGATATAGGATATAGGAATGTTATATCCATGACCCTGAATCCCAAGATTTGGGATTCCTGAGGCCCTGGAATGCCGGGATCAGCAGGGACACCCCCCCCGTCTCCAGGCTCAGCACATTCCCCTCCTCTTTCCCCAAACCCCTCACTCCAGGAGGGCACGGCCGGGCTGTGGGGAACACTGGGGAACATTTGGGAATTCTGGGGGCTCTCTCCCCAGGTGTACAACGTTTACATGGCCGGGAGGCAGCTGTGCTCCAAGCGCTACCGGGAATTCGCCATCCTGCACCAGAACCTGAAGCGGGAATTCGCCAACTTCACCTTCCCGCGCCTGCCCGGCAAGTGGCCGTTCTCCCTGTCCGAGCAGCAGCTGGACGCCCGCAGGAGGGGCCTGGAGGAGTACCTGGAGAAGGGTGAGCTGCTCCCAGAATGCCTCCTCGACCCTAAATTCATCCTCAGACCGATCCCGCACCCCAAAATCCCTCCTCGAACCTAAATTCATCCTCAGACCGATCCCGCACCCCAAAATCCCTCCTCGAACCTAAATCCGTCATCAGCCCAAAAGCCCTCAGCTCAAAATCCCTCCTCCACCCAATCCCACGCCCCAAAATCCTTCCTCGTCCCTAAATCCCTCCTCAGTCCAATCTCGCACCCCAAAATCCCTCCTCGCCCTTAAATCCATCCTCAGACCAAAATCCTTCATCTCAAAATCCCTTCTCAGCCCCAAATCCTTCCTCACCCCAATCCCGCACCCCAAAATACTTCCTCATCCCTAAATCTCTCCTCAGCCCAAAATCCCTCAGCTCAAAATCCATCCTTGTCCCAAAATCCTTCCTCAGCTCAATCCCGCACCCCAAAATCCCTCCTCGACCCTAAATCCATCCTCATCCCAAAATCCCTCTCAGAATCCCTCACTCAGATCCCTCATCCTAAACCCTTCACCCCAAAATCTCTCCTCGTCCCAAAACCCCTCCTCACCTCAATCCATCATCCCAAAATCCTTCCTCATCCCAAAATCCCTCTCAGAACTCCTCACCCTAAAACCCCTCATCCCAAAACCCCTCACCAGCATTCCCAGCGGGTGTTCCTGGTCCATTTGTGGGTTTGCTCTGGGAGGTTTGGGGTGGTTGGGTGGGATTTTGGGGTGAAGCTTCTTGGAGAGGGTCTGGATCCATGAGGGACACCAGGACATGGAGAACATGGGGTTAACGGTGACACTGGGGACAGGAGGTGACAGAGGTGACCCAGAGGACAGAAGATGGCAGAGGTGACCCAGGTGACCAAAGGTGACCCAGGGACACTCCTGGGGCTGATCCACCTTGGAGAGGTTCTGGATCCATGAGGGACACCAGGACATGGAGAACATGGAGTTAACAATGACACTGGAGGTGACCTAAGGGACAGGAGGTGACACAGGTGACACTCAAGGCACTGCAAGTGTTGACCTGATCCACCTTGGAGAAAGTCTGGATCCATGAGGGACACCAGAACATGGAGAAGATGAGGTTAACAGTGACACTGTGGGGACAGGAGGTGACAGAGGTGATCCAAGTGACCAGAGATGACCCAGGTGGTGCTCCTTGGGCTGCTCCATCTTGGAGAGGGTCTGGATCCATGAGGGACACCAGGACATGGAGAACATGGGGTTAATGGTGACCCAGGGGACAGGAGGTGACTCTGGGGACACTCAATCACCTTGGAGAGGGTCTGGATCCATGAGGGACACCAGGACATGGAGAACATGGGGTTAATGGTGACAGTGGGGACAGGAGGTGACCCAGGGGACAGGAGGTGACCCTGGGGACACTCAATCACCTTGGAGAGGGTCTGGATCCATGAGGGACACCAGGACATGGAGAACATGGGGTTAATGGTGACACTGGGGACAGGAGGTGACCCTGGGACACTCAATCACCTTGGAGAGGGTCTGGATCCATGAGGGACACCAGGACATGGAGAACATGGGGTTAACGGTGACACCTGGGGACAGGAGGTGCCTCAGGTGCAGGAATTCCCTTCAGGATGAGTTGGGATGATGGGAAAGGGTTGCTGGGCTGGCCCTGGAGGGGACATTCCCAGGTCCTGGTGACATTCCGTGTGACATTCCGCGTGTCCCACAGTGTGCTCCATCCGGGTCATCGGCGAGAGCGACATCATGCAGGAATTCCTGTCGGAGTCGGACGAGGTGGGTGACGTCATCCCGCGGAATTCCATGGAAAAAACCCTTCCATGGAATCGTCAAGGTGGGAGAACCCCTCCTGTCCAGCTGTCCCCAAGGCCACCCCTGATCCCTGTCCCCAAGTGTCACATCCGTGGGGTTTTGGGACAATTCCAACCGTTCTTGGTGGGATTGAGGCTTGGTCCAACTGAATTCCGTAGGGAAAAAAATCTTCCATGGAATCATGGAAAAGCCCTCGGAGCTCCTCATATCCAACTGTCCCCAAGGCCACCCCTGATCCCTGTCCCCAAGTGTCACATCCGTGGGGTTTTGGGACAATTCCAGACGTTTTTGGTGGGATCGAGGCTTGGTCCAACTGAATTCCGTAGGGAAAAAAATCTTCCATGGAATCATGGAAAAGCCTTCGGAGCTGCTCATATCCAACTGTCCCCAAGGCCACCCCTGATCCCTGTCCCCAAGTGCCACATCCATGAGTTTTGGGGACAATTCTGCCTGATTTTTATGGGATTGGAGCTTGGTCCAACAGAATTCCATGGGAAAAAAAATCCTAAGGCTTCCATGGAATGTCCAAAGCTGGAAAAGCCCTCGGAGCTCCTCAGGTCCCACTGTCCCCAAGGCCACCTCTGATCCCTGTCCCCAGGTGCCACATCCATGGGTTTTGGGGACAATTCTGTCCATTTTTTATGGGATTGAGGCACCCCAAGCTCCCAGAATTCCTCCAAACCCCGCACTCTTTTGGGATCCAGGGAACATGCCAGGAATGAGCAGGAATTCCAGGGGGTGAATTGGTCCCAAAGCCCCAGTTTGGGACAATTCCCAAGATGGCAATTCCACAGTGCCCTCAGCAGCACTGACCACGAAGGGATGAAGGAATTCCATGGAGGAATTTTCCCAAACATCCCACCTTGAGCTCCCTGACCATTCCCCTGGGAGAAGAATCCAACCCCATCCCCTCCTCCCACACCGAATCCCCACTGTGGGATTTTTAGGGATCACAAATAACTGGAAAACCGGGAATTTCCTGATTTTTTGGGGGGGCATTTTCCCTTCCCTTTTTCCCAGAATTACAACGGCGTCTCCGACGTGGAGCTGCGGGTGGCGCTCCCGGACGTCACCACGGTGACAGTGAGGGTGAAGAAGAACAGCACCACGGACCAGGTGTACCAGGTGAGCCCATTCCCACCTGGAATTGCCCTTCCCACTGGGAATTTCCATCCCCTCAACTCCATTTCCCCACCCCCACCTGGATTTTCCTTTTTTTCCCCACCTGGAATTTCCTTCCCGTCTTTCAGTTTTCCTTCCCCACCTGGATTTTCTTCCCTTCCACCTGGATTTTCCTTTTTTTCCCACCTGGATTTTCCTTTCCTCCACTTGGATTTTCCTTTCCCACCTGGAACTTCCCTTTCCCTCTTGGAATCTCCATCCCCTCAACTCAATTTCCCCACCCCCACCTGGATTTTCCTTTTTTTCCCACCTGGAATTTCCTCTTTTCCCACCTGGAATTTCCTCTTTTCCCACCTGGAATTTCCTCTTTTCACACCTGGATTTTCCCCCATTTTTTGAAGACTGGGATCCACTGGATCCAAAGATTATGGGCAATTAAATAACACTTTGGAAAAAGGAGATGAAAATTCTGCTGGGAAAGAGTGGGAATTCCAGAATCCCGTGGATAAACAGGATTTGGGGGTGTGCTCAGGACACAGCCCATGGAATTCCACGCTGAGTTTTGGCCATGGAATGACCCCAGACGGGAATTTCCAACTCCTTTTTCCCTGGGGAATCCAGGCTGGAATTGTGGGGACCCCACAACCTCAACATCCCCAGGAAAAACGGGAGTGAGGAGCTGGCCTGGTTGTGCTGGCAGAGTTCCAACGGGGTTTTCCGTGGTCAGGGAATTCCCGGGAACGCCCGGCTGGCGCTGATCCCGTTTTCCCGGCGTTTTCCAGGCGGTGGCTGCCAAGGTGGGCATGGACAGCGTCACCGCCAACTACTTCGCCCTCTTCGAGGTCATCAACCACTCCTTCGGTGAGCCTGGAATTCCCTGGGATTTAGGGGTGGGAATAAAAAGAAAGAAAAAAAAGTAAAAAGGGAATGGAGGGATCTGCAGGTCCCTAGGGTGGGAGTGTGGAATCTGTGGGGCTCCCGCCATCCCTGGCTGCTCCAAGCTGGTTTTGGATGATTCTCCAGGGATGGGGAATCCAATCCATGGAATAACCTGGGATAGGGAAGGGTTTATCCCTAAAATCCCATTAAAGCAGGACAGGGAATCCTGGAATGGTTTGGGATGGAAAAGATCCTTAAAGATCCTTGGGGTCTTGGGACCTCCCACTGTCCCAGGTTGATCCAAGGGGGAATTGGGCACTCCCAGGGATGGGGAATCATCCTGGCTGGAAAAGCCCCCTGAGATTGAGGTCAATCCCACCAAATCCCATCCCCCAGGTGCCACTTCCAGGAGGTAATTCTGGAAGGATTTGGGGTCATTCTGGAATGATTTGAGGTCATTCTGGAAGGATTTGGGGTCATTCTGGAATGATTTGAGGTCATTCTGGAAGGATTTGGTGTCATTCGGGAAGGATTTGAGGTCATTCTGGAAGGATTTGGGGTCAGTCTGTAAGGATTTGAGGTCATTCTGGAAGGATTTGGGATCACTCTGGAAGGATTTGTGGTCATTCTGTAAGGATTTGGAAATCATTCTGGAAGGATTTGGTGTCATTCTGGAAGGATTTGGAAATCATTCTGTAAGGATTTGGTGTCATTCTGGAAGGATTTGGGACCATTCTGGAAGGATTTATGGTCATTCTGGAAAGATTTAGGGCAATTCTGAAGAACTTGGCACCATTCTGGAAGGATTTGGGGTCATTTTTGAGGGTTCCCTGTGGGAAAACCCCATTTTAACGCCGATTTTTTATTTTCTTTTTTTGGCTCTCCCGGACCCCCTGTCCTCCCCACGCCCTGACCCCGACATTCCACGGCCTCTCCGGGCTCTCCCGGGCCGTTCCCAGTGCGGAAGTTGGCTCCCAACGAGTTCCCCCACAAGCTCTACGTGCAGAACTACACCTCGGCCGTGCCGGGGACGTGCCTGACCCTGCGCAAGTGGCTCTTCACCACCGAGGAGGAGGCGCTGCTCAACGACAACGACCTGGCCGTCGCCTACTTCTTCCACCAGGTACGGAATTCCCAGCAGGAATTCCTCTGGAACGCCCCTTTGGGTGGGAAAACCCCTTATGGGGTCCTTGGGTTCCATAGTTGATCCCATATGGGATGGGGTTTTGGTTGTTTTTATGGGATTGAATCCCAAGGCTCTTGGGCCACCCCAAGGTCCCTCAAGGAATTCCCAGCAGGAATTCCTTTGGAATGCCCCTTCAGATGGGGAAAACTCATGGGGTCGTTGGGTTCCATAGTTGATCCCAAGGTTGGATGGGGTTTTGGTTGTTTTTATGGGATTGAATCCCAAGGTTCTTGGGCCACCCCAAGGTCCCTCAAGGAATTCCCAGCAGGAATTCCTCTGGAATGCCCCTTCAGGTGGGGAAAACCCCTCATGGGGTCATTGGATTCCATAGTTAATCCCAAGGTAGGATGGAATTTTGGTTGTTTTTATGGGATTGAATCCCAAGGTTCTTGGGCCATCCCAAGGTCCTGCAGGTGGGGAATTCCCAGCAGGAATTCCTCTGGAATGCCCCTTTGGGTGGGAAAACTCCTTATGGGGTCCTTGGGTTCCATAGTTGATCCCATATGGGATGGGGTTTTGGTTGTTTTTATGGGATTGAATCCCAAGGTTCTTGGGCCATCCCAAGGTCCTGCAGGTGGGGAAATTCCCAGCAGGAATTCCCAGCAGGAATTCCTCTGGAATGCCCCTTCAGATGGGGAGAACTCCTCATGGGGTCGTTGGGTTCCATAGTTGATTCCATGTGGGATGGGGTTTTGGTTGTTTTTATGGGATGGAGGCACCCCAAAGTCCTTGGGCCACCCCAAGGTCCCTCAAGGAATTCCCAGCAGGAATTCCTCTGGAACGCCGCTTTGGGTGGGGAGAACTCCTCATGGGGTCATTGGATTCCATAGTTAATCCCAAGGTTGGATGGGGTTTCAGTTGTTTTTATAGGATTGAATCCCAAGGTTCTTGGGCCATCCCAAGGTCCTGCAGGTGGGGAAATTCCCAGCAGGAATTCCTTTGGAATGCCCCTTTGGGTGGGGAGAGCTCCTCATGGGATCATTGGGTCCCATGGTTGATCCCAAGGTTGGATGGGGTTTCGGTTGTGTTTATGGGATTGAATCCCAAGGTTCTTGGGCCATCCCAAGGTCCTGCAGGTGGGGAATTCCCACCTGGAATTCCTCTGGAATGCCCCTTTGGGTGGGGAGAACTCCTCATGGGGTCATTGGGTTCCATAGTTGATTCCATGTGGGATGGGGTTTCGGTTGTGTTAATGGGATTGAATGCCAAGGTTCTTGGGCCATCCCAAGGTTCTCGGGCCACCCCAAGGTCCTGCAGGTGAGGAATTCCCACCTGGAATTCCTCTGGAATGCCCCTTTGGGTGGGGAGAACTCCTCATGGGGTGGTTGGGTCCCTCAGTTGATTCCATGTGGGATGGGGTTTTGGTTGTTTTTATGGGATGGAGGCACCCCAAGGTCCCACAGGTCCCCGAGGGTGAAGCATGAGGTGGCTCCTCCTCCTCCCATCCCAAATCCCAGATTTTTCCTGTTTTTTTTCCCATTCCCAGGCCGTTGATGACGTCAAGAAAGGCTACATCAAAGCCGAGGAGAAATCCTACCAGCTCCAGAAGCTCTGCGAGCAGAGGAAGATGGTCATGGTGAGTGGATTCCCTGGAATACTGGGGAATTCCCTGGAATGTCCCCCATGGAATCCCTGCCCATGTCTGTATCCCGGTGAACCCCTGGAATCCTGATGAATCCTGAATCCCGGTGAACCCCTGGAATCCTGGTGAATCCCCTGGAATCCCAGTGAATTCCCTGAGATTGTGGTGAATCCCAGAATCCCAGTGAACCCCTGGTGGATCCCATTGAATTCCCTGGTGGATCCCATTGAATTCCCTGGTGGATCCCAGTGAATTCCCTGGTGGATCCCATTGAATTCCCTGGGATCCCAGTGACTCCTGGAATCCCAGTGAACCCCTGGTGGATCCCGGTGAATTCCCTGGTGACTCCCTGGAATCCTGGTGAATTCCCTGGGATCCCAGTGCATTCCCTGGCATCCTGGTGCATTCCCTGGGGTCCCTGTGCATTTGCTGGGATCCTGGTGAATTCCCCAGGACCCTGGTGAACCCCTGGGGTCCCAGTGACTCCCTGGGGTCCTGGTACATCCCTGGTGCATTCCCTGGCACCTCAGCGATTCCCTGGCACCCCAGTGATTCCCTGCAATCCCAGTGCATTCCCTGGCACCCCAGTGATTCCCTGGCACCCCAGTGATTCCCTGGCACCCCAGTGCATTCCCTGTAACCCCAGTGATTCCCTGTCACCCTGGTGCATTCCCTGGCACCCCAGTGATTCCCTGGCACCCCAGTGCATTCCCTGGCACCCTGGTGATTCCCTGGCACCCCAGTGCATTCCCTGTAACCTCAGTGATTCCCTGTCACCCTGGTGCATTCCCTGGCACCCCAGTGATTCCCTGGCACCCCAGTGCATTCCCTGGCACCCTGGTGATTCCCTGGCACCCCAGTGCATTCCCTGGCACCCCGGTGCATTCCCTGTAACCTCAGCGATTCCCTGGCACCCCAGTGATTCCCTGGCACCCCAGTGATTCCCTGGCACCCCAGTGATTCCCTGGCACCCTGGTGACTCCCTTGGGTCCTGGTGCATTCCCTGGCACCCCAGTGATTCCCTGGCACCCCAGTGATTCCCTGGCACCCCAGTGATTCCCTGGCACCCTGGGGACTCCCTTGGGTCCTGGTGCATTCCCTGGCACCCCAGTGATTCCCTGTCACCCCAGTGATTCCCTGGCACCCCAGTGATTCCCTGGCACCCCAGTGCATTCCCTGGCACCCCAGTGATTCCCTGTAACCTCAGCGATTCCCTGGCACCCTGGTGATTCCCTGGCACCCCAGTGATTCCCTGGCACCCCAGTGATTCCCTGTCACCCCAGTGAATCCCTGGCACCCCAGTGATTCCCTGGCACCCTGGTGACTCCCTTGGGTCCTGGTGCATTCCCTGGCACCCCAGTGATTCCCTGGCACCCCAGTGATTCCCTGGCACCCCAGTGCATTCCCTGGCACCCCAGTGATTCCCTGGCACCCCAGTGATTCCCTGGCACCCTGGGGACTCCCTTGGGTCCTGGTGCATTCCCTGGCACCCCAGTGATTCCCTGTCACCCCGGTGCCTCCCTGGTGACCGGGCTGTCCCCACAGTACCTGAACATGCTGCGGACGTGCGAGGGCTACAACGAGATCACCTTCCCTCACTGCTCGTGCGACTCGCGGCGCAAGGGCCACGTCATCTCCGCCATCAGCATCCGCCACTTCAAACTGCACGCCTGCACTGAGGAGGGCCAGCTCGAGGTACTCCCTGCATCCCTGCCATCCCCAGGCCACCTCTGACCCCACAGCCCTGCAGCTGTGCCCTCCTGAGTCCCTGGGATTGTCACCCAAATCCATGGGGTTGTCCCCGAGCTCACAGCCCGGGTTTTACACCATCACTGTGTTCCTGAATCCCTGGGATTGTCCCAGAGCTCACAGCCTGGGTTTTACACCATCACTGTGTTCCCAAATCCCTGGGATTGTCACCCCAGCTCCCTGGGGTTGTCCCTGAGCTCACAGCCTGGGTTTTACACCATCACTGTGTTCCTGAATCCCTGGGATTGTCCCCAAGCTCTCTGGGGTTGTCCCCAAGCTCACAGCCTGGGTTTTACATCATCACCCAAATCCCTGGGGTTGTCCCCAAGCTCACAGCCTGGGTTTTACACCATCACCCTATTCTCAGATCCCTGGGGTTGTCCCTGAGCTCCCTGGGATTGTCCCTGAGCTCACAGCCTGGGTTTTTACACCATCACCATGTTCCCAAATTCCTGAGGTCACCCCAGCTCCCTGGGATTGTCCCTGAGCTCACAGCCTGGGTTTTACACCATCACCATGTTCCCAAATCCCTGGGATCATCCCTGACCTCAAAACTTGGATTTGCACCTGCCCCTTGTCCCCAAATCCCTGGGGATCATCCCCAGCCCAACACCTTTGGATTTGTACCTGGACAGTGTTCCCAAATCCCTGGAGGTTGTGCTGGGATCATCCCTGGCACCCCTGGGATCATCCTTGATTTCACACCTTGGTTTGCACCTGGACTGTGCTCCTAAATCCCTGGGGATCATCCTGATATCCCTGGGATCATCCCTGACCTCACACCTCGATCTGCACCTGGACTGTGCTCCTAAATCCCTGGGGATCATCTCTGACCTCACACCTTGATTTGCACCTGGACTGTGTTTCCAAATCCCTACGGATCACCCCAATTCCCTGGGATCATCCCTGACCTCTCACCTTGATTTGCACCTGGACTGTGCTCCTAAATCCCTGGGGATCATCCTGATATCCCTGGGATCATCCCTGACCTCTCACCTTGGTTTGCACCTGGACTGTGCTCCTAAATCCCTGCGGATCATCCCCATTCCCTGGGATCATCACTGACCTCACACCTTTGGGTTTGCAAATCCCTGGCATCTCCCTGAGCTCCCTGCTGGGATTTGGGAACCAAGGATAACTCGGGGAATCCTCCCTGTGCTAAACCTGGGACAAACCCTCCTTTTCCCCTCACCCTGCTCCTGGGGGCTCCCCCTGCCCGGGATCCTGGCTCAGTTTGGGAATTGTGCAGAACCAGGTGATCGCCTTCGAGTGGGAGGAGATGCAGCGCTGGGACACGGACGAGGAGGGCATGGCCTTCTGCTTCGAGTACGCGCGCGCCGAGAAGAAACCGCGCTGGGTCAAGATCTTCACCCCCTACGTGAGTGTCCCTGTCCCAGTCCTGCCTGGAATGCCCTCAAATCCCATCCCAGAATTCCCTCAAATCTCTCCTGGAATGCCCTCAAATCCCACCCAGAATTCCCTCAAATCTCACCCCAGATTTCCTCAAATCCCACCCCAAATTCCCTCAAACCCTGCCTGGAATTGCCTCAAATCCCACCCCAGAATTCCCTCAAATCCCACCCCAGAATTCCCTCAAACCCTGCCCAGAATTCCCTCAAATCCCCCCCCCCCAGAATTCCCTCAAATCTCTCCTGGAATTCCCTCAAATCCCACCCCAGAATTCCCTCAAATCCCACCCCAGAATTCCCTCAAATCCCACCCCAGATTCCCTCCAACCCTGCCCAGAATTCCCTCAAATCCTGGCCTAGAATTTCCTCAAATCCCACCCAGAATCCCCTCAAACCCTGCCCAGAATTCCCTCAAATCCCACCCAGAATTCCCTCAAATCTCTCCTGGAATGCCCTCAAATCCCACCCCAGAATTCCCTCAAACCCTGCGTGGAATTGCCTCAAATCCTGGCCTAGAATTTCCTCAAATCCCTCCCCCAGAATTCCCTCGAATCTCTCCTGGAATGCCGTCAAATCCCACCCCAGATTCCCTCAAACCCTGCCTGGAATTGCCTCAAATCCTGGCCTAGAATTTCCTCAAATTCTGCCCAAAATTCCCTTGGGAATGTGATGTGTGAGTGTCCCAATCCTGCCTGGAATGCCTTCAAACCCTGCGCAGAATTCCCTCAAATCCCACCCAGAATTCCCCTCAAATCCCACTCAGAATTCCCTCAAACCCTGCCCAAAATTCCCTTGGGAATGTGATGTGTGAGTGTCCCAATTCCACCTGGAATGCCTTCAAACCCTGCCCAGAATTCCCTCAAATCCCACCCAGAATTTCCTCAAATCCCTCCTGGAATTCCCTCAAACCTTGCCCAGGATTCCCTTGGGAATGGGATTGTGAGTGTCCCTGTCCCAGTCCTGCCCAGAATTCCCTCAAACCCCGCCAGGAATTCCCTCAAATCCCACCCAGGATGTGTGAGTGTCCCAGTCCCACCTGGAATTCCCTCAAACCCCACCCAAAATTCCTTTAAATCCTGCCCGGAATTCCCTCAAACCCCACCCAAAATTCCTTTAAATCCTGCCCGGAATTCCCTCAAACCCCACCAAAAATTCCTTTAAATCCTGCCTGGAATTCCCTTGAGAACTGGATCGTGAGTGTCCCAGTCCTGTCCAGAATTCCCTCAAACCCTGGCCTGGAATTCCCTCAGGAACAGGGAGAGCTGGAAAAGGGGGGAAGGAGAGGCTGATCCTGGGAGAGGCTGATCCTGGGAGAGGCTGATTCCTCTCTGGAGCTCCTCTGGATCTGTTGGATCCTCAGGAGCTGCTGGCCCCTCTTTGGAATTCTTGGTTCCTACCTGGAGCTCCTGGCTCTGAAATTCCTCTGAGAGTTCCTGGTTTGTTTTTTTTTTCCCTGGAGCTCCTGGATTTTTCCTTGGAGCTTCTGGTACCTCCTGGTTCCTCCCTGGAGCTGCTGGATCCAGAAGTTCCAAACAAGAACCAGGAGCTCCTGGCTTTTCCCTGGAATTCCTGGCTCCGGTCTGGAGCTGCTGGAGCCTCTGGCTTTTCCCTGGAGCTCCTGGTTCCTCCCTGGAGCTGCTGGATCCAGAACCTCTGCCCAGAGCTCCCAGTTCCCCTCTGGATCTCCTCCCTCCCCCCTGGATCTCCTGGCTTTTCCCTGGATTTTCCCTGATTCCCATTTTCCCCCCACAGTTCAATTACATGCACGAGTGCTTCGAGCGAGTGTTCTGCGAGCTCAAGTGGAGGAAGGAGGTGAGAATTCCAAACTTTTCCCTTTCCCAGGTGGGAAATGCTTCTCCTGGTCCATAATTCCCACAGGGAATGATTGGATAATCCCAGGCTGGTGAAAAGCAGGGGAGGAGCTCTGGAGGTGGGGAAGGTTTCGTGGAGCAGCTGGAAAAAGGAGCTGCAGGTGTTGGGAAAAGGCTCCTGGAGCTGGGAATGACCTGGGATAAATGTGGGAAGAATCTTCCTTCTCCATCCCATTTCCTTCCTCCTCCTGCTTTAAGGAGAATTTTAAATTGGAATTGGGATTGGCATTGGAATTGGGAGTGCAATTGGAATTGAAATTGCAGTTGGAGTTGGGATTGGAATTGGGATTAGAATTGGGATTAGCATTGGAATTGGAATTTAAATTGAGATTGGGTTTGGCATTGGCATTGGAATTGGAATTTAAATTGAGATTGGAATTGGCATTGGAATTGGATTTTAAAATGAGATTGGAATTGGTATTGGGATTAGAATTGGAATTTAAATTGAGATTGGCACTGGAATAGAAATTTAAATTGAGATTGGCATTGGAATTGCAATTGGAATTGAAATTTCAGTTGGAATTGGAGTTAGGATTGGAATTGGCCTTGGCTTTGGAATTGGGATTAGAATTGGAATTTAAATTGGCATTGGCATTGATATTAGAATAGAAATTTAAATTGGGATTGGCATTGGGATTGCAATTGGAATTGAAATTGCAGTTGGAATTGGAGTTAGGATTGGAATTGGCCTTGGCTTTGGAATTGGGATTGGCACTGGAATAGAAATTTAAATGAGGATTGGCATTGGGATTGCAATTGGAATTGAAATTGCAGTTGGAATTGGAGTTGGGATTGGAATTGGCATTGGAATTGGAATTAGAATTGGAATTTAAATTGGCATTGGGATTAGAATTGGAATTTAAATTGGCATTGGCATTGGGATTAGAATAGAAATTTAAATTGTTATTGGTATTGGGATTGCAATTGGAATTGAAATTGCAGTTGGAATTGGAATTGGGATTGGAGTTGGATTAGAATTGGAATTTAAATTGGATTTGGGATTGGGATGGGCCCAGGATTGGCTTTGGGATTGTGACTGGGACCCTCCAGGTGAGCTGAGCCCTGCCTGGGATCTGAGCCATTCCCAGCACTCCCATCTCTCCTCAATCCCATTTTCCCACTGGGAATCCCAGGGGTTTTTTCCACCTTCACCTTTTCCCCCTTTCCTTCTTTTCCAGAACCTTTTCCAGCTGGTCAGGTCACAGCAAAGGGATGCAGCCACTTAACCCTGGGAGCTTTTCCAGCAACCCCCAAAATTCCTTTATTGTATTAAAGCCCCCCCCACCCCAAACTAAATCTCATTAATTCCAAATCCATTCGTGCCCATCATCTTTATGGAATTCCAGAGGAAAAAAAACCAACAAAAAACCCAAAAAATTGGGAAAAGCCACCTGAGGGGGCTCCTTTTTCCCACTCAGATCCAGCTCCAGGCTGGGAATTTTGGGATTTTTTTTTTTTTAATTTTATTTTCTTTTTTTTTACAACTGGAATTAAGAAGTTGTTGTTTCTGCTGGGTCAGACGTGGAAAAATAAGGGGGGAAAAAAAAGCAGGAAAAAGCCCTGAGAATGTTCCATATGGGAATAATTCCTTTAAAATCCCACAGGGTGGCAGCAGCTCTTGAAAGGGATTTTCCCCCTGTTTCTCCTCCCAATCCTGGTTTTTTTTAATCACTACAAATAAAAAAAAAAAAACCAGGAAAAACATCCAAAAGGAGCAAAATTCCAAGGAAATGCCACTCCTGGCACAAGGATCCCTCTCATGGATTTGTATTCCTGCTTTTTGGGCTGTTTTCCCAGGGATTTGGGTGTGCCTGGCTCCTTGGGATGGGATCTGGGAGATTCCAGGATCCTGGGGCTACCCCTGGATGGGGATGAGCAGCTCCCAGGAGGAAAAATAACCTGGAAATTCCATTTTTCCCCATTTTTGATGGGATTTTTCCCTAGACCCAGAGGCTGGGCAGCTCCCAGGAGGGAAAAATAACCTGAAAAAGCCATTTTTGCCCTATTTTTGAGCACTTTTTATCCATGACTTGGGTGTCCAAGCAGGAAAAATAACCTGAAAAAAAACCAAAACATTTTCCCTCATTTTGAGCAGGATTTTTTCAGAGTTCTGGAGGAAAAATAAGGTGGAAAAACCTTTTTTCCCTGGTTTGGAGCAGGAATTTTCCATATTTTGGGTGGATGAGCAGCTGCCAGAGGGAAAAAAAAACCCTCTGGAAAAGATATTTTCCTAAATTTGGAGTGAGTCTTTCTCATCTTTTGAGAGGAAAAATAAGGTGGAAAAGCCATTTTTCCTTGGATTTCAGCAAGTTTTCTCCATGGTCCAGGAGGCTGAGCAGCTTCCAGCAGAAAAAAAATCACCTGGAAAATCCATTTTTTCCTGGATTTGAGTGCAATTTTTCCACGTTTTGGGAGGAAAAATAAGGTGGAAAAGCCATTTTTCCTTGGTTTTGAGCGGGATTTTTCCGTGGATCCGGCAGCTGAGGAATTCCCAGAAGGAAAAATTATGGAAAATCTGTTTTTCCCTGGTTTTGAGTGGGATTTTTCCATGTTTTGGGAGGGAGAAAAAAAGCACCTGGAAAAGCTGATTTTGCCTGGTTTTGGGCTGGCCTGGAGCTGGTCCCACCAAGGTTTGGGGTGGATTTGGGAATATTTGGAACCAAACCCAGCAGGAGCATCCTGGCCTCATTCCCAACCTCTGGAATGTGCCAGAATTGCTCCAAAATGGGATTTTCCCCCAAATTCCCTTTTTGGGAAGGGCTTTTCCCCACTCCTCCTCCCCCTGGAGGAGCCAGGATTGGGGAAGATTTTTGGGGTTTTTTTTTCGGGGGGGGTGGGAAATCCCAAATCCTCGGCTCTGGAGCAGCTGGGAATGAATTCCATTAATTGGATCCCTGTAATTAATTGGATTTCCGTTGTCCTCGGGAGCCCCGAGCTGTGGAAAACCCAGGAATGAGGGGAGGGAAACTGGGATCCCCAAAATCCTCCCCTCTAAAATCACCTTCAGCACCCCCAATTGGGGTAGAATCCCAGGAAAATCTTAATTTTGATCCCAATTTTCCCCGCTAGCCCCAAATTCCAACGGATTAAGGAGAGCTGAACCATCTCCCTGTGGATTTTTTTAATCCAAAAAAGCAAAACAAAACAAAAAAAAGCCCAAAAAGGGAGAAATCGGTCAAAAAATTTACAAAACCAAAACCCTGCCCCCCCCTCTTGTCCCATTTTCCCTCTTCCAGCTGCTCCCATTCCTTGGGTTCCCAGTCGGGAAAAGCCCCTTTAGTGTAATTAATTGTAACATATTCTTTTAAATAAATTGATTTATTGAGGAAATTCTGGAGGGCCGTGGCCGTGCTCCTTCCCCTAGGGGGGGGCTCCTGTTTACCCCCAAAATCTGGGAGATTCCAGGGATGGTTTCAAACTTCTGAACTTTGGGAATTTTCGTGGGGTTTTTTTAAGGTGTGGTTTGGTGGGGTTTTTTTTTTTTGTTGTTTTTTTTTTATTTTTTTTTATTTCGACAGAAAAACCAAAAAAAAAAAAAAAATAGAGAAAAAAAGTCAATTCTGAAAGGAACTGCAATAAATAGCAAATAAATAAAGCCTTGAGCCCAGGGGCTTCACTGCCCCTCCCCAACGCCCCCCAAACCCCCCCCACCCCCCAAAATCAACCCAGCAGGTCCCAAACCCCCCCAAAACGGGGGGGACACGGAGGGGGCCCAACACCCCCCGTTATGTACAGTGGGGATGGGGGTGAAGAGGGGGGGCACTGGTTTGGGGGTGCTGGGGGCACTGGGGTGGGGTTTGGGGGGGCTGGGGGGGCATTGACCCCGTTTGGGGGTGCCCTGACCCAGTTTGGGGGGGCTGGGGGGACATTGGACCCAGTTTGGGGGGGACCCTGACCCAGTCTGGGGAGCTGGGGTGGCACCGACCCCGCCTGGGGAGGGCTGGGGGGGAATTGTCCCAGTTTGGGGGTGCTGGGGGCACTGGTTGGGGGGCACCGGCCCAGTTTGGGGCACTGGTTTGGGGGCACCGGCCCAGTTTGGGGCACTGGTTTGGGGGCACTGGGGGTTTTGGGGTCCTGGGGGTTTCTGGGCTGGACACGGCCCCAGTTTGGCTGGTGGGGGCCGGCACCCCCCGGATTTGGGATCATTTGGGGTTTGGGATTATTTGGGATTTGGGGCCAGGCAGGGCCGGAGCCTCGTGTCCGTGTCCGTGTCCGTGTCCCCAGTCTGGCTGCTCCTGGTGTCCCCTGGATTTGGCTGGTTTGGAGTTCCCAGGAATTCCCGGGATCAGCCACTGCGTGTCCATCTGGCTCCTTGTGGGGACATCCCCAAAAGTGGGGACATCCCAAACAGTGGGGACATCCCAAAATGGGGACATCCCAAACAGTGGGGACATCCCAAACAGTGGGGACATCCCAGAATGGGGACATCCCAAACAGTGGGGACGTCCCAGAGGAGTGGGGACATCCTGGGGTCAGGGCATTCCGGTGCTGAAGCGTCCCATGGCTGGGGAATTCCGGGATCGGATCATTCCAATGTTGGAGCATCTGATGGAATGTTCTGGTGTTGGAAAATTCTGGTCCTGGATCCCTCAGACCTTGGAGCATCCCAGTAATGGAGCATCCCCAGGGTGGAACATTCCAGATTGGAGCATCCTGGTGTGGGATCTGCTGTGGGATCATCCTGTGGGATCATCCTCATGTGGGATCATCCTGTGGCATCATCCTGCTGTGGGATCCTCTGCTCTGGGATCTCCTGTTGTGGGATTGTCCTGCTCTGGGATCCTCTGCTGTGGGATCATCCCGCTGTGGGATCATCCTGTGGGATCATCCTGCTCTGGGATACTCTGGTGTGGGATCATCCTGTGGGATCATCCTGCTGTGGGATCTGCTCTGGGATCCTCTGCTCTGGGATCCTCTGCTGCAGGCTCATCCCACTGTGGGATCCTCTGCTGTGGGATTGTCCCAGTATCAGAGCATCCCCATGGTGGAACATTCCGGTATCAGAGCACCCCAGGGTCAGAACATTCCAGTATGGAGCATCCCAGTATGGAGCATCCCAGTATGGAGCATCCCAGTGTGGGAACATCCTGGTGTGGGATCACCCTGGTGCCAGAGCATCCGAGGGATGGAACAGCCCAGTCCTGGTCCATCCCAGTGCTCATCCATCCCAGTACTGGTCCATCCCAGTGCCAGCCTACCCCAGTAGCAGCCAATCCCAGTCCCAGTCCATCCCGCTCCCAGTTTATCCCAGTTCCAGTTTATCCCAGTCCCAGTTTATCCCAGTCCCGGCCCATCCCAGTCCCGGCCCATCCCAGTGCTGGCCCATCCCGAGGGGAAACTGAGGCAGGTTGTGGGCGGAGCGGGTGGCAGTGGCAGTGTTGGGGTCCCGCTGCGCCCCCGGGAGGACATTGGGGGGGCCGCGTCCCCCCCTTTGGGACCCCCAAAAACCCCCAGGAACCCCCAAAACCCCCCCCCATCCCAGTTTGGAGCTGCTTTTGGTCCTGTTTGGTGAGAAAAGCCCCAAGAAGGGTCCCCCGGGGGGGGGCAGAATGAGGGGGGTCCTTTTGGGGTCCCCCCAGGGTGGGCACGACCCCCCCCAAAACCGGAGTGGATGCGGCTGCTGTTGGGGGGGGCACTGGCACCCTGCACTGGGCTGGACTGGGATGGACTGGGATGGACTGGGGGGGTCGGGGGGGGCCTGGAGGGGGGGTCCATCCTTCCTGAGCGTGGGGGGGTCTGGGCCCCCCCCCAGCAGGACCGAGCCCCCCCCCCCTCCGGGCACCGCTGGGTTTGGGGGGGGCTGCTCTGCAATGGGGGGGGCACCCAAAGGTGCTGCTCCGGAGCCTCCGGACCTGGGGAGGGAAAATTTGGGGATGGAGGGGTTAAACAGAGTTTGGGGGGCACTTCCTGCCCCCCCCAAACCCTGAGACACCCCAAATACCCCCCCAGGCATTTCCAGCCCTCCTAAAACCCTAAGACACCCCAAATCCCAATAGGGGGATATCCCAACCAGGGGGTTTTGGGGGGCTCAGGGGCTTCCCAGCCTGGGGGGGTCATGGGGGGTCCAGGGAATTTCTGGGGGGACGTCCCGGGGGGCATCTCAAGGGTTTTCCAGCCCTGAAGAGGTTCCAGGGGGTCCCAGGGTGTCCCAGATGTGTCCCAGGGGTGTCATGGAGGTCCTGAGGTGTCTCAGGGGTGTCCCAGGGGGTCCCAGAGATGTCCCAGAGGGTCCTGAGGTGTCCCAGATGGTCCCAGGGGTGTCCTGGGCGTGTCCCAGATGGTCCCAGGGGTGTCCTGGGCGTGTCCCGGGGGTGTCCCAGGGGTGTCCCGGGGGTGTCCCAGGGGTGTCCCAGGGGTGTCCCGGGGGATCCCAAGGGTGTCCCAGGGCTGTCCCAGGGCTGTCCCAGGGGTGTCCCAAGGTGTCCCGGGGGTCCCGGGGGTCTCACCAGGCTCAGTAGGGCCGGTTGGCGTCTTTGGGCCTCTTGAGCTGCACCTTGAGCCGCTTCATCCCGATCTGGAAGCCGTTCATGGCCTGGATGGCGGCCTGGGCGCTCGCGGGGTTGTCAAAGCTCACGAAGCCTGCGGGGACATCAGGGGGCGTGGGGACATGGGGACATGGGGACATCGTGGGGATATGGGGACATGGAGGACATGAAGGATTTGGGGACATTGTCCCCATGTCCCCATATCCCATTGTTCCCAATGTCCCAGTGTCCCCATATCCCATTATCCCCATTATCCTCATTGTCCCCAATGTCCCCGTGTCCCCAGTGTCTTTGTGTCTCTGATGTCCCCCATGTCCTCATGTCCCCATTGTCCCCATATCCCACATTCATTTCCCATTATCCCCATTGTCCCCGTGTCCCTGATGTCCCCACAGTCCCCATAGTTCCCGATGTCCCCAATGTCCCCATATCCCATCTCCCATTATCCCCAATGTCCCCATTATCCCCATTGCCCCTGATGTCCCTGATATTCCCATGTCCCCGATGATGTCCCCATGTCCCCAATGTCCCCAGTGCCCCCATATCCCACACTGCCTATCCCATATCTCAATGTCCCCATGTCCCCATTATCCCCATTATCCCCATTATCCCAAATGTCCCCATTGTCCCCAATCTCTCCAATGCCCCCATTATTCCCAATGTCCCCATTGTACCCATTGTCCCCAGTGTCCCCATTGTCCCCATTATCCCCAGTGTCCCCATTATCCCCAGTGTCCCCAGTGTCCCCATTGTCCCATGTCCCTACCGAAGCACTTGCTCTGGTTGGTGGCCCTGTCCACGAAGACCTTGGCGGAGATGACGTTGCCGAAGGGGAGGAACATCTGCAGGATCTCGGTGTCGGCGAACTCCTGGGGCAGGTGGTAGATGAAGATGTTACAGCCCTCGGGGCCTGCGGAGGGAGCGGGGTCACACCTGGGACTGCGTCCCCAAAACCGACCGGACCCCACAACCGGGGCTGCCAACCCAAACCCGACATGGGACCCCAAAACTGGGGCTCTCAACCCAAAATGGACACAGCACCCCAAAACTGGGGCTGCCAACCCAAACCCAACACAGACCCCAAAACCAGGGATGCCAACCCAAAACTGACACACAACCCAAAACCGGGGCTCTCAACCCAAACCAGACATGGGACCCCAAAACCGGGACTCTCAACCCAAACCTAACACAGACCCCAAAACCAGGGCTGCCAACCCAAACCCAACATGGGACCCCAAAATGGGGGCTGCCAACCCTAAACTGACACACAACCCAAAACCAGGGCTCTCAACCCAAACCACACATGGGACCCCAAAACCGGGACTCTCAACCCAAACCTAACACAGACCCCAAAACCGGGGGTGCCAACCCAAAACTGACACAGACCCCAAAACTGGGGCTGCCAACCCAAACCAGACATGGACCCCAAAACTGGGAGTCTTCACCCATAACTGACATGGACCCCACAACCGGGGCTGCCAACCCAAACCAGACACAGGATCCCAAAAACGGGGCTGCCAACCCTAAACTGCCACTGACCCCAAAACCAGGGCTCTCAACCCAAAACTCACACAGACCCCAAGCCGGGGCTGCCAACACAAAACTGACACAGGACCCCAAAACTGGGGATGCCAACCCAAACCCACCATGGGACCCAAAACCGGGGCTCTCAATCCAAACCAGACACGGCACCCCAAAACCAACTTAAACCTGACACGGACCCCAAAACTGCCACTGACCCCAAAACCAGAGCTCTCAACCTAAACCAGACACGGGACCCCAAAACTGGGGGTCTCAACCCAAACAAAACATAGGACCCCAAAATCGGGGCTCTGAACCCAAAATGGACACAGCACCCCAAAACTGGGGCTGCCAACCCAAAACTGCCACTGACCCCAAAACCAGGGCTCTCAACCCAAACCTGGCTCCTGCTTTGGGTTCACAGCTCTGATTTGGGGTCCCAAGTCTCAGTTTTTGGGGTCCCAGGGCATTTTGAGGGTCCTGGGAGGTTTTGGGGGGGTTGTCTCAGGTGTACTGGGGAGTCCCGGGGAGTTTTGGGGGGTCCAGGGTGGGGGGGGGTCTCAGGTGTACCAAGGGGGTCCCAGGACATTTCAGGGGTCCCGGGGGGTTTTGGGGGGTCCCGGGGGGGTCTCACCTTCACGCTGCTGCTGCTGCGGGGGGGGCGGGGGGGCGAGCAGGGGTCCCGGGGGGGCGAAGGCCGGGCTCACCAGCCCGTAGGCGGCCGGGTACGCGGCTGGGGGCACGGGGGGCATGGGGGGCACGGCGTCACCGGGGACATCGGTGCCCCCAGGGCCACCCCAGTGCCATAAAACACCCTCCCAAAGCCACCAGCGACACCAGTGCCACCCCAGTGCCCGCCCAGCGCCACTCAACACCCTCCCAGTGCCCCCCAGTACCCCACAGCACACCCCCAGTTCTTCCCACTGCCCTCCCAGTTCCCCCCAGCCCCTCTCAGTGCCCCCCAGTACCACACAACCCCCTCCCAGTGCCCTCCCAGTGCCTCCCAGTCCCTCCCAGTGCCCTCCCAGTGCCCCCCAGTCCCTCCCAGTCGCCCCAGTACGCACCAGTGTAGTGCTGCATGCCAGCGTACGCCTGCTGCAGGGGGTCCCCGGGGGCCGCGGGGCTCTGGGCTGGGGGCACAGGGGGGGTTAGGGGGGGGCCCGGCGGGGCTCGGGGGGCTGGGGAGGGGTCGGGGGGCACCTGGGAAGGGGGGGACCCCCCCGGCGTAGACGGCGTCGGGGGCGGGGGGTCCCGCGGGCTGCGCGGGCACGGGGCTGTAGCCGTTGACGCTCAGCGGGGCCGCGATGGCCGGGACGGGGGTGGCCGCCATGGCCGGGGGGGTGCTGGTTCCTGGGGACAGCGCGGTCACCGCCGGGTCAGCTCCGGGACAGCTCCGGGACAGCACCGGGACAGCCCTGGGACAGCTCCGGGACAGCCCCGGGACAGCTCCGGGACAGCCCCGGGACAGCACCGGGACAGCCCTGGGACAGCTCCGGGACAGCCCCGGGACAGCACCGGGACAGCACCGGGACAGCACCGGGACAGCCCCGGGACAGCCCCGGGACAGCACCGGGACACCCAGGGGACAGCACCGGGACAGCCCCGGGACAGCCCCAGGACAGCACCGGGACAGCCCCGGGACAGCACCGGGACAGCACCGGGACAGCCCCGGGACAGCCCCGGGACAGCACCGGGACATGCCGGGGACATTGGGACCGTGACCCTGGAGGGTGGGGAACCCCCCACTGGTTCAGTGGTGGTTGAGCGTCCCCATCCCATCCATGGTGTCCCCATTTATCCCATGTCCCATCCCTGGTGTCCCCATCCTACCTCTGGTGTCCCCATCCCACCCCTGGTGTCCCCATCCCACCCCTGGTGTCCCCATCCCATCCATGGTGTCCCCCCATATCCCATGTCCCATCCCTGGTGTCCCTCCCCATTGTCCCCATCCCTGCTGCCCCCCACCACCAGCACCCCCATCCCCGTGTCCCCCATCCCCTCCCCGCTGTCCCCTGTCCCCGTTACCTGAGGAGGGTGGCAGGGGGGTGGCGATGAGCCCGTTGGGGTTGACCGTGCCCATGTGCTGCATCTGGACGGCCATGGTGGCCATGGGGCTGAGGTAGGCCGAGTGCGCGGCCACCAGGGCCGCCTGCTGCTGCATCAGCTGTGGGGACACGCCTGGCACCGCGTGGCCACCACCACCCCAGGGACCCACCCTGGTGCCACCACCGCCCTGGGGCCCACCCTGGTGCCACCACACCACTGCCCCGGGATGTGGATCCGGCGTCTCCCCATGGATGTCACCCCAGTGCCACCAACACCCTGGGACGTGGGACCAGCATGTCCCCATGGGTGTCTCCCCAGTGTCCCATCCAGGACCAGCATCTCCCCATGGATGTCACCCCCATGTTCCATCCAGGACCAGCATGTCTCCATGGATGTCACCCCAGTGCCACCAACACCCTGGGGTGTGGGACAAGCATGGTCCTATGGATGTCACCCCGGTGTCCCATGCAGGACCAGCATCTCTCCATGGATGTCACCCCCAGGACCAGCATCTCCCCAATCCCCCCAGTGTCCCCAATCCCTCCCAGTGTCCTCAGTGTCCCCAATGTCCCCAGTCCCTCCCAGTGTCCCCAGTGCCCCGTACCGCCTGCGTGTAGGCGCTGTAGGCGCCGAACTGGAGGGCGATGGGGCTGAACATGCCCAGCTGGCTGGCCACCTGCTGCATGCGCCGCAGCCCCCGCTCCTTCTCTGTGTCCGCAAACTTCACCACCAGGCTGGACGAGGCGCCCTGCGGGGACACGGCGGTCACTCGTGGTCACTCACGGTCACTCGTGGTCACTCATGGTCACTCGTGGTCACTCATGGTCAGTTGTGGTCACTCACAGTCACTTGTGGTCAGTTGGGGTCACACGGAGTGGGGCAGTGGTGGGAGCGGTGATGGGGGTGATGGTTGGGTTGTAGTGGGGTGAGGATGGTGGTGGAGGTGATGAAGAGGATTAGGATGGGGTTGATGATGGGGACAGTGGTGAGGATGACAATGGGATGATGATGCAGACATTGGTGAGGATGGTGATGGGATGATGGTGGAGAAGATGGAGGGAATGATGAAGGAGTTGATGAAGGAGAGGATGGTGGGAACAGTGATGAGGATGAGGAAGGTGACGGTGAGGGTGATGGGTCGATTGTGGAGATGATGAAGACAATGGTGGGGATGATGAAGGTGCTGAAGAGGATGATGACAGGGACGATGACAGGGACAGCAGTGGGGATGATGATGGGGATGATGGTTGGGTTATAATGGGGTGAGGATGATGATGGGATGGTGGTGGAGATGGCAAGGAAGGAGGGCATGAGGAGGATGATGGTGGGGACAATGGTGGAGACAATGGGGGGATGAATGATGAAAGAGGTGATGAAGAGGACGATGGTGGGGATGATGGTGAGGATGATGATGGGATGATGACAGGATGATGATGGGGATGGTGGTTTGGTGGTAACGGATGAGGATGATGAGGGGACATTAGAAGGGTGATGAAGGAGAGAGGGATGGTGGTGAGGTCAATATCGAGGGTGACGATGGGGCGATGAAGAGGATGGTGGGGACAGTAATGAGGATGATGAGGAGGATGATGAAGGGATGACAAAGGACACAATGAGGGAGACGATGATGAGGATGATGGGGGTGATGAAGGTGACAATGGGGATGACAACCATGATGAGGATGATGAAGGGGACCATGAAAGAGATGATGATGAGGACAATGAAGGGGACAATGAAGAGTACGATGAAGGGGACGATGATGAGGATGATGAAGGGGACAATGGAAAGGATGATGATTAAGATGATGAAGGGGATGATGATGAGGACAATGAAGGGGACAATGAAGAGTACGATGAAGGGGACGACAAAGGGGACGATGAATGAGGATGCTGAAGGCGACAGTGCAGGGGATGATGATGAGGACAGTGATGGGACGATGAAGGGGACAGTGACAAAGGTGACACCGCAGGTGACAGCGCTGAGGACGGTCCCTCACCGGCAGCGTGCGGCTCCCGTGCAGGGCAGCGATGGCGGCCTGGGCCTCCGCGTGGCTCTGGAACTTGACGAAGGCGCAGCCTGGGGACATTGGGGACATTGGGGACATCGGGGACATCGGGAACATTGGGGACATTGGGAACATCAGGGACATCGGGAACATCGGGGACATCGGGAACATTGGGGACATCAGGGACATCGGGGACATCGGGGACATTGGGGACATCAGCCCCATGGCAGCTCCAGGGAGCTCTGGGGGTCCCACCCCACCCCTACACCCCCATCACCCCATGGGCCCCCCAAACCCCATTAACCCCATCCCTGCCGTGCTCCCCCTAAACCCCATCCCTGCCCCACAGATCTCCCTGTGCCCACCCCGGTGACCCCCGAGGGGCCCTCCAGGACCCCTGAGGGACCCCCCAGGACCCCCGAGGGACCCTGCCCACCCCAGGGTGTCCCCCCCGGGTCCCCCCACCTTTGCTGGTGCCGTCGGGGCCGCGCAGCACCGTGCACTCGTCGATGGTGCCGAAGGGCTCGAACATCTTGCGCACGTCCTCGTCCGCCTGCTGCTTGCTCAGCATCCCCACAAAGAGCTTCCGGTCCTCTGCGGGACACCGCCGGTGACATTGGGACAGTGAAGGTGGCACTGGGACGTGGGCATGGGGACACGGGCACGGGGACACCGCGGGTGGCATGGGGACATGGGCATGGGGACACTGCAGGTGGCATTGGGACATGAGCAGGGGGATATGGCCATAGGGACATGGGCACAGGGACAGTGTGGGTGGCATTGGGACACTGCACATAGCACTGGGACACGGGCATGGGGACAGCGCGGGTGGCACTGGGACACAGACAAGGGGATATGGCCATGGGGACAGGGGCACTGGGACACCATGGGTGGCATTGGGACATGGACAGGGGGACACCAGCATGGGGACACCAGCATAGGGACACGGGCACAGGGACACTGTGGATGGCACCACAACACTGGCACGGGGACATCACAACTGGCACTGGGACACTGGCATGGGGACAGTGCCACGCAGAGGGGTGTGACACTCCAGGAAGGATGGGGTGGGGACATTGGATGGGGACACTGGGATGGGATGGGGACATTGGGAATGGGCAGAGGGTGACAGCTCCTGGGAATGGGGACACGGAGGGACACCCCAGATGGGGACAGGGACAGAGGTGGGGTGGCCCTGGGGGTCTCACACTGGGGGGTGGCCTTGGGGTAATGTGGGGACACCGGGGTTTGGGGACAGGGTGGTGGGGGATTTGGGGAGATCTGGGGGGGGATTTTGGGGTGATTTGGGGGGGGATTTTGGGGTGACTTGGGGGGGGATTTTGGGGTGATTTGGGGGGGGGAATTTTGGGGTGACTTGGGGAGGGATTTTGGGGTGATTTGGAGGTGATTTGGGGGGGGATTTTGGGGTGATTTGGGGGTGATTTTTGGGGGATTTTGGGGTTTTTTGAGGGCGGGTACCTCCTCGGCTCTCACTGTCCGCCGGCTTCACCTGGATGGGCCGGTTCATCTGGGGGGAGGGGACACAGGGGGGGGTTGGGGACACACAGAGACCCCCCCAAACCCCCCCCAGGCCATCCAGCACCTCCCCCACCCCCTCAGAGGGTCCCAAACCCCCCCATCCCGCCCCCCAAAGATGCTCCGGTCGCCATGGCAACGCCGGGCCTGCATCCCGTTACCTGGCAACGGGAGCCGCTGCCGTGGGGGGGGGGGGGGGGAGGGAGGGGAGGGGCCCGGGGGGCCGCGTTAATGAGCGCCCCTCCCCCCCCTGCGTTAATTGGGGGGGGGGAATGGACCCACCCCCGCCCCTCCCCCCCCCCCCCCACCCCGGAACCCCCCAGAGGAACGGGGCGGGGGGGGAGGGCGCAGATGCGCGGTTGCCATGGCAACGGCCGGCTCCGCTCCATGGCAACCGCCCACTCATCCCCAATTTACCCATCGCCGTTGCCTGGCAACGCCGCTGACGTCATCAGCGCTCGCGATAAACAATGACGGGGATGGGGATGGGGGGGGGGGGGCAGAGATGGAGATTTGGGGATTGGGGGGGGGGACGACGGGACCCTCCCAGGCCTGGTGTGACCCCGCCCCTCCCCCCCCCCCCCAAAAAAAACCCCCCTCGGGGTGTGGGGGAGGGGCGGCCGTGCCCCATCTCGGGGGGATTTTGGGGGAATTTGGGCTGCGGGAGGTGGGGGTGGCGGGGGGGGGGCGGGTCCATCCCCGGCTGACCCCGCGCGTTCCTTTCGCCGCCGAAAGCGAAGGTGCCCCCCCCGAGCCCCCCCCCCCCCGCCATGAGCCCCAGATGGCGCTGGAAATGTGGAAATGCCCCCCCCCCTCCCCCTCCGGGCTGGGGGCGTTAATCCCCCCCTAATCCCCCCCCCCTCCTGCGCTGGATCAACCCCGGCCGTGCAGGGGGGGGGGGGACAGAAAGAGGGGGGGGCCAACAAAGCCCCCAACCCCCCCCAAACCTACACCGGGACCCCCCCCCCTCCTGTGCTCAGCGCAGCGCGGGGGGGGCCCTGAGGGTGGCGCCCCCTCCCCAAATTCCCAGCGCTGCGCGGGGGCAGCTGCTGGGGCGGGGCCGGCCCTAATCCCCCCCCCAAAAAAAAAACCCATTCACCCCCCCCCCCCCACCCCAATCCACCCCCCCAAGCCCGGATTTACGGCCCCAAATCCCGGGATTATCCCGGCCAAGCCAAATCCCCCCCGGGCCTGGCGGGACACGCGCGGAGCCCGCGGGGGGGGGGGGGCACGCCCCGAGCCCCCTCCCCACCCTGGGGACCCCCAAACTGCCCCCCCCCCCCCCGCCCCTCATCCCCCAGGAAGCCTCGAACCCCCCCAAAATCAGCCTGGGGGGAGGGAATGGGAGGTGGGACCCCCCCAAA